CAGCTGCGAGAAAGAAAAACATTGTCTTTGAGGAATGATTTTAGGTTCAACTTTAATCAAGACCTTTTCATACCTCTATTTGCGACGTCATCTTCTTCTTGATCCCATCTGATCGATTCTTCTCGTCTTTCATAGCCTCAACAGAATCATTTTTTATGTGCGATAGTTTTAATTCCATTTCCTGCAAAGTACATGAGAACAAAATTATTAATCGTCATATCTTAAATATGATGAGACAGGGTGCTGTGAGTTTGTACTACGCTCCCCTCACAACACTATTATTTGTTGTTTTATAAGTTTTTTTTATTTTCCACGGTCCCCATGACATGGCATACTTTTAAAGGAGAGAATGCGAATTGGCAAAGCAATTCATTTCAGTATAACTGGGACTCACAGTAACGGCTACGTTATCATTACAGATTATCTTAACCGAGATTGATGATAAGAGAGCTTCAACATACCTTTAATTGAGACTCAAATTGTTTCTTCTCCAACTTAGAGCATGTGATTTCTTCTTGGAGTTCGGCAATGCGAATAGTGTAATTTACATTCTGGTCCTTGGTAGCCTGTGAAAAAAATGGCGCTAAATGATATAACTTCCAATCTTCTTCATGACATTACAAAAGGAACAATTAATCAATCGTATATTTTCCCCTTCAAATTTTCATTCGAAATATTATATCATCGTAATATTTACTGGGATTGATTAGCCTAAATCAGTGGATCCAAGCAGGCAGGAAAATAATCCCCCCCCCCCTTGAAATGAAAAGTTACTGAATGTTATTTTTACGCCAAACTCTTCAGGGATCATGGACTTGGACAGTGAGGGTGGTTTAAGCATTTTATACCCTTTCTGACAATCCTGGATCCACCATAATAATCAAAGTATTCATGTAGAAATGGTAATACTAATTAATACAAACTGTGGATTCATTGGTATAAAAATACTTTGATAACTCTTTAACTCACTTCAAGTTGTGCTTTCGAGTCATCCGCCAGTTTTGTTGCCTCTTGATATCGTATCTCCATCTTATCGCTGCGCTCGCTGTTCTCCGACTGCTGTTCTTTCATTCCCTGTGGTTAAGTAAGAATGTAAGAGTTCATTTTCATGAAGTTCAATACTTTGGCTCTCTAGAATGAGAAAACAAAAATTCTGTCTTCGTCTTCCGAACTATAATATACCGAGTTTGATTGCACAAACTTGCTGCGGATATTACAAGAAAGGTTCCAGGTCAGGAATTGTTTTCAATATTTTTGTCAAACTTCCAATTTAAACATTGCAATAATATTCATAGTCTATAGCAAAGTACCGGAAAACGTTTTTTTTTTTTCTCCCAGAAATAGATTTACTCTTTTGAAGGCTTACAATCTATACATAAGAAACACGATAACAAAATTGGGAACGTGTGCAGGAACAAGAATTTGACAAATAAACTACTGTACTTTAAGATCTGAAATCAATATAGTCTCCTGTTTTCTGGCTAGCATTAGCTCCTCCTCTTTTTTTGAAATAGATATTTCTGCCTCCTCGACTTTCAGGTGTAGTGACTATATATATATATATACAGAGAGAGAGAGAGAGAGAGAGAGAAAGAGAGAGAGAGCGCATGAGAGGGGGAGCGGGAGAGAGAGAGAGAGAGAGAATAATTATTCTATGATATAAAATTGAAAAGATTATTGACAATTTTCGCGCATTATCCTTCGAAAGTATGATACAATAAAAAGTCTGCTTTTGCTTCATTGGACAACCATAACGATCGTTGTCCTATAAATAAGCTTTTACCAAGCCGAATATACTATGAATAAGAGAAAAATAATAAACAAACAATCACGCTTTTCTTGCTTGAGAATCTTTCACTCGGACAGAATGATGAATCCATCGATATGAAACATATTTATTTCATGTAACATTAAGAGACAGATAATAATTTGACGGGTAAAGGGTAAATCATTCAATTTTAGTTACTTTCATACTAACAAATATTAATATGTTTAAAACAAAACATGAATACATTAGTTATTATAAATAGGTCTAATAGTGAATTAGCCTCTAACCTTTATTCTGAGGTCTCTTCGTTTGACCTTGCTCCGGAAGTTCTTGAGGTGCTTCTTTGTCGAGAGGCTATTGGTTTCCATAGCAACAAACTTTTGTCTCAGTTGACTTGTTATTGAATCACCATCATTCATATCTCCAGTACTTTCAATACCGAAATCCATGGCTAGATTCTATAATGATTAGTGTCAGAAAAACAGGTAATAATAATAATAATAACAATAGCCTAATAGTCCACTCCAAATTTTTATTAAACCGAAACGGAAATTCTTTTTGCAGCAATAATTTGTTGATCTCATATACGATTAAGGACGCGGTTCTTGAATAATGTAAAACCGCAGTAACAATAAAACACAAATCATGGCAATCATGATAATAACTTTTCAAATGTCACGAAGCTTTGCTTGAATTCTAAAGGTTGTAGGAAGCAGACTATGAGACAATGAAAATAACGATGAAAATGACGGACACACAGATATTCAAATAGGGAACGACTGTTGTAGATTAATATAACAAAATATATAGAAAAAACAGTCATAACCAGACCTCTACAATTCTCGTTTTACAGTCAAGAATTTCCACTTTGTGATAAAATACTAATTCTGGTCGTATATCCGCGTTCTATAAACTTTTATAGAACACCTTAATTTGAATCATTAGGGTACCTTGATATCTTTGAATTCCGGTTTGCTCTCGGCCATCTTCATCTGTAGGTTACAAACAATGCCAGCAGGCGTTGTGTTGCTTGAGAGACCAAAAGTGTTGCACAGGAGTTCCATTAAAACATTCACGTCCTGTAATGAATATTAAGCAATAGGTTATTGTGACGAGTACATGTAAAATGAATGAGGACTCTTGAGGAGTATATTGTTGACATAATTTAACATCGAACTTATAAGGAGGTACATGAGACAAAATTTGGAAATATAGAGATTAGGATGAGATGTGATAGAGAGAGAGAGAGAGAGAGAGAGAGGCGGGGGGGGGGGGAGGGGGTGGTAGAAAGACGGAGACAAAAACAGACATACAAGTACGAAAACTATTATTGGCCATATAGCTCGCAAGCTATGTCTCATCCGGTATATTAGTATGATAACGACTATACTGTAAATGTTTATTTTTCATTTTTCATTCTTTATTTTCATTTTTTTAATTCTGCATTCATGTAAGTACACAGTTTTTCGATAACAATAATGGTATAAAGTATAAATATTTTTCTAACAATGAATCATAAATAAGCAAATATAATAATTGTTATTTTCAAAAACGAAATGATAAACTGTCATAAATAATAAATTTCCTCAAACATTATGAAATTATTTGCGGAAGAAGGACTGTCATTGTGAGCAGATTGCTTGATAATACGACACCCCCAGACAAAACTCATGAAATAGATTAACACATTTATTAAGCAGAACGGATAGGTATTTGAAAATACAAGTTTCGATGATGATGATATTAACAATGCAGGTGGGGATGATGATGATGATGATGATGCTGATGACGATGATGATAATGATTCGAATGAAAGAAGAGATGACATCATGATAAAGACTGAAAAGTGGACTCACATCTTCCTTGAATCTCGGTACTCGGTGTCTGATGATGATGTCTCTAGTTACCATGGTAACCGGTGTCAGTGGCTTTAAGATCACAGGACATGACCCTCTATCATCCATCTCTGATGGACTCAGATTTGTCTTGCCACTGATCATTTTTGCTGATGCTCAAACATGACTAAACAATTGAATTAAAACTTGTTAATAATGAAAAGCTACTTAATTAGCGAAATCATGACATGTTTATTCATTATTTGTTAGACCTTACGTACTTTATCCTGTTAAAAAGTTGTTATACCGAGAAATGATGTTTACAGTAATGTAGTGCTCAACAATGGTGACAACTTATGTTGTATCATAATTATGTCCGATGAAATCATAGAATTCAATTGTAAACATTAAAAGCATATTTTTAAAACTATAAGTCATCCGATCCGTATTTTTAAGTTCATGAAAACTGCCTAATATTTCAACAGATTGTTTGTACCTCAAGATAAATTTTGATATTTGTTACATTTTAAAAGAATTATTTTGTATAAGTAAACACAATTGTTCTTTTTTCTTTAAATTTTTTTCTGCAATTAGTCTAGGTCATTACAAAATACAAAATCAGAAATATTACCTAATGATGGGGATTGACAGAATCAATTCTTAAATAATGTTCCCAAACTTCCATGTGTTACTTAACTGTAAAATCATAAATCGTCTTAAATATTTGATAAAACTGTGTAGTGTTGAAAGCCAAGGTTAAGGGTATTAAACCGTCTTTGTATGTGTAAAGCGCTTAGAAACAATTTATTATTTTTATTTACATGTAGTTGCGCACCCGGAGCAGTACCCATGACGTCACAATTCAGATTCTCTTCGTACGCTGCGAGTAACAAATATTTTGTCTCCTTTCACTTTGCGCAGGCAGATAATATTTTCATCAGATTGCAATATATACAACGTGCTCCTGCCACAAAAAAAATATATCGTCCCGCGTTCATTTTCCTACATTAACCAAATTTTTAATACTAAATCACTTCCAAAATATAATACCTAATCATAATCCTAACACCAAACTTGACTCAAAGTCGATTAATAATCTTACTATACATACCTCGCAATTGTGATGTTACATTCACGACCATTTTGATAATTTTGACCTTTCTTCCAAAATTGGTCGTAGTAAGTCGTCAAAATAATAGCTTATTATGAAGACGTCCATGATTCGTTTATTAAAGCTTCTCGATGAAAAGTAACTTCCCTAAGTAGCGTAAACCATTGCCTATAAGGGCTAGGAACAAAAAAGTTAAAAAAATTTATTTTGTTTTAGTTTCCCCTATAATACGCTAATAAACACGCTTTCTATGATCGTTATCTATTTGTCTTTTTCAAACCTGCAGTTGAGCATAAGAAATCGATTGATCAAGAGATGAGATTGAAACGAGTTACGACTGCTGCTAAGGCATTCAAGGCTGGACGTGTTATCTAAGGAGTCTACCGACCAAACCATTAGAAGATGATCTGATGGAGATGTTACATGGAATTCAACGAACAACCTTTATGATAAATTCCATAATACATGGATAATTATGAGCGCAATGCACAAATTGAAGAAAAGTGGTAGTTTGTGTTTAATTTTTTCTTTTAAGGAGATGTATTTTACTTTTATTTATGTGCCTGTTCCATTACCACCTTGACTTACTCTATTAAGTATAATACAGTTATGTGTAAAGATTGTAATTATCTGAACATTGTGTATTGTACTGTGTTCTTTGTATTCTTCTCATGAGCTTGTTTAACAAAGTCACTGGCATGATGAAAAATGTAGTTGGATATTTTGCGGTATCTTATTATTTGTGTAACGATGTGTCCTGTGAACTCATTTTGAGTTGTAGAAATAAAAGGGCGCTTTATTTTGTCTCGTAGCTTGACAAATATTATCAAGAGTTGACAATTGCGCGAATCGGTATTTTCACTGCGGTGGGGTTGCAGTAACTTTTTAATTACCACGCCACATAATATACAATATACATGTATAATACGCAATTGTATAAGTAAATTGATTTTTTAACCAGCCCGTCAGAATAGGACCTTTGTGTAAAAAACAACATGCATACAAAAACAAAGCTAATTACCATTTTGTTTTGCTTGCCACCCCCTCTCCCCCTCCCCTCTCCTATCACGTTTGAAGAGAGATTTCCATGCGCAAATATTCTTTCTCTCCAAAAAGCTTTATACAGTTCATACGGGCCTATTCAAACCTTTATAAATATAATTGACTCTATTCTTGATTTTGGTCCCAAAGTGGGTTCGTTTCCAACAGGATAAAACTTACATTACCATGATTTATCGTGTCTTTCATTTTACGTGTGTGGTTATGGCAATATTATTGTACAAGTTTTTATTCGCTGAATGTCATTTTTAAAATATCTTCATCAAATATCATTATGATCATATTGCATGTCTGATGATGATAGGTTTATGTAATCCTCTCAGTCGGTGAGATATGACAACAATTTCATAGTGTACGTGTCGACAGACAGTTTACTATAGGCCTAATCATTTTTTAATGAGTACATTTTTGTAACGATTTAATTAGTAATTGATTGTCCGTATAGTGTAGGTCTGACTATTAAGTATATTTCACCCACTCCTATAGCACTGTGCATGACGTCGATAGCTGTCTCTAGAAGACAGAAAATAAGTCATGCTCTGCTAAAGGAAAAAAGCGTGAACCTTACAATCATCATCATTATTAGGGACTTTTCGATTTGCACGACGAGAACGTGGACTGCAACGTGTGACATCCTTTTAAGGCACTACGTGACTGCTTGTGCCTGAAAAGGGCGTCGCACGTCCACGCAAATCTAAAAGTCCCTAATATCATTGTTGTGACAATGCCCTTGAAATTGCTTTATCACTCAAGGTATTTGTTTATTATACTATTGATGCATGACATGACTACGTGCATATTATGTAATAGCACTTCCTCAAGCAATGTGTCTAGCATAGCACCATCTATTACTGTGCACTTGTTACACATTCAGAAGTCAACATGCATTTGGTTGTGTTGTGAAGATCAAGGATCCCCTTTTTGCCAGCGCATCATGGGGATTTGAGCCATATTATTGTCATAAAGGCAGGCAAAGCCGCATAGAGGTTAGTTTTGTTGTATATTTAGTGTATTTTTAGGAATTATCATAACATAAAGTGGAAATTAGTGTGTCTGTTCTTGACTTCATACCGAGAGATGTTGATGTTATCATGTATACATCATCATTATGTAAGGAAAAAAAGCCTATGCTGTTATGATCTATGTACATTTGACCTTGTTATTGAAAACATGAATAACAGTGATGATATATTGCTGAATACTTTGAAGGTTAATTATGAGAGTGCTGAAGCACTTAGTAGGGATTCCTTTAGGGCTATCATTGCTATGAATGTGATGATGCTTTGATGTACTTGTATTTTTGATCCTTTATCTGTGTCATTATTCCACAGTTTTCACGGAATGGAATGGAATGGTATGGAGTACAATGAAGCAACATTTACTCCAATCATTAAAGCTACAAATTCCCGTAAAAACCTTTGTCAGACTTTATCTTTGACTTCACTACAGCCACAATCATCGTCATCGTCAATAATAGTTATTTAATCCCTGTATCAATTATTTTTTGTATAATAAATGCATGTCATATAAGTGGACATTTGTGAGTTCTATAGATGACGGGAAGTATCGTTAATTTTTATGGAAAACTAAACTCGGGAAGAATGTTTAAGACTATAAAATAGTGATATCTATCCCATGGATGTAGTTGAGGATGAGGTATAATATCCGAACAATGAGGGAAAAAGCAGAATCAAGCTAGTCGTCCTGAATTTGTGTTATAGGTGCAGATAAATATTGTGTTATGCGTTTTTGATATGGTATTTTCAGAAAGTTTTCATTTAAAGTTTTTTTTTTTCTAAATAACTCATATTTTCCATAAAAATAAACAAATCAGGATGACTTTGATCAAGTATCTCTCGAAATTCCATTTGAACAGAACTCATTATTAGATTTGAGATCGAGGCTTACAAATGAATTTATTTCATCATGTGTTCCTACAATTCAGATAGCTATAATTCATGATATTTTATTACATTTTAAAATCTTGTTATGCATTTCAATCTTATGTTCTGAAACACTTTTAAGAGAACATGTCTTTCTCTTTTTGCTTTGTGTCAAACAAAATACAATGTACATAGTAAACTATAAATGTATTCGTGTAAATCTGCCTCTTTAAACATTATCATATTTCCTTCTGTGGGTTATAAATACACAACTCTTGTATATAGAGTATGCTATTTCTTTTTCGAAACTTGGGCTGTTATAAGAAGAGAGATATTTAGAGATCGTTATATGGTGAATAGTATCTTGAATCGTGATGAAGTTATTTATGTATTCGTTAATGTATGTGATAAAATGAAATATAAATCAAGTTTGAATCTCATTTTGAATCTTAGTTTGATTGATCACTTTCGTTTGTAGAGTGTATGGATATGGTGTGGTCGAGGAGAGACATGGTATAGGTGACAATCTTGATGGTGATGGTGTGTTCTGGCTGCTGCTGCTCTTATTAAGAAAGACAGTGACAGACATGTGCTATGATTATTTTGGTACAGATGAAATATCTATATTGTTATTGTGGCGTGATTGAGTGATGGGTAATAAAATATAATTTTCTATGTTAATATACATTTTCATCTGATGATGCATTTTATAAATACAATATCATTAATCACGCATATAAACGGCCAAAACCCGAAACTTTAGCATGCAGGGGCGGTGCTGTGTAGATCCCTCAAAATTAAAAAATAACATAAAATGCGAACGAGCGTAGTGAGCGAGCTTTGGGTGATTTTGTAGTGACTTTAAATTAGAACATTTTATGGTGAAAGGAAAAGGGGGCACACATCCAAAGTTAAAAGGAAACGTATTATAGAACGGGAAAGGGGCAATTATCTGAAGGAAAATGTCACTAATTAGAAAGGTAGTGGCACGTGTCAAAATAAAAGAGGCACTTATCAGACATGAAAAGGGGCACTCATTACAAAGTTAAAGGGGGCACATCTCAAATTTTAATAAGGGAACTCACCGGAGATCAAAAGAGGCACTAAAAACTGTCAAAATAAAAGGACACCTCTCTGATTTAAAACGAGACAATTATAAGACTGATTTGAAGGGGCACTTATCAGAGGTGGTAAGGGGCATTTCTTTTACCTGAAAAGGGGCACTCACCTGAGATGAATATGGGCTCTTGTAAGATTGGAAAGGGGCACCTACGAGATTTTAATAGTGACATTTATCAGACGTCTGATAAGGGACATTTATGAGAAAGGGAAGTGGCTCTTATTGAAGAAGAAAAGGGGCATTTATCAGAAGGAAAGGACACGTATTAGAAAGACAAGGGGACACATGTCAAAATAAAAAAGAGATCTGAATAGAGGCACTTATCTGAAGTAAAAGAAAAACATTTCCTATGTATAAATGGGCTCTTTATGGGTACTTTAAAAAGTGGGGCACTATGCCCCCTGCCCCCCGGCTCCGCCGCCTCTGATGAAACATCAGTAATAATAATAATACAAAGTTATATAAGTGTTATGTTTCCCTCGGCCTTTGAACTACATGTATATAGGGTGTAAACATGCCTCATCTTGATCTAATAATTCATTACTCTTTGATGAGCGATTTTTCCTTTTCTGATTCACTTAATTGTGAATTTGTGATATGTCTGTCTGAAGTCTTTTTTGAAATATATATACATAGCTTAGAGTATCAGAAACAACATACCGCAAATCACTTAGTAAATAATTATCCTTTTGTTTAGGCATGGGAGGAAATCTGAGGGGGGGGGGGAGGCATCTCCCCCACGATCTGGAAAGGGGAGCGATACACAATTTTTAATGTTTCTCTACAATTTTACTAATGCCCCCAATCATTGAAATCGAACTTTCATGTCAGATATAAGTTCAAAATATAAAAAAAGATATATGAATATATTGAAATATTTTTGTTGATTAAAGGTAATACAAAGTTTTGGGAAATTTGAAAATTGGGTGGAAAGTGATTCTTTACAATTTTGATATATTTGGATGCCCCTGTAGATGTATTATAAGCACAAGAAAAATTAGCCCCTAAAACACTTCTCCTTTCGAGAAAAATTGAATATAAAAATTTACCGGTGCTCCCGGTAAATTTTGTTAAATTTCAAATAGCGCCTACCGCCGTACAATGATAGCTGCGACTATGAAAATCTCAGAATATGTAGTTGTGATATATAATTTCCAAACGGGAATAGCTAATTGGTCGATTTTAGTCAAGAGAGATAGTTTTATAGCTTAATTAATATCTTGACCCTGAGAGGGAGCTATATAACATAAACAGTTTATTATTTACAATTTCATAAATTTAGACTCGATTGCAACCGCAACAACGACACCTGAATATTGTAGGACCGCATTATGCTTCCAATATGTTCATTGGAACCAAATTCATGACCCCATCCCAAAACTTTGTATTACCTTTAACAAAAAAAGCACCCAAATAACATAACAATTTCATGACATAGAATTTTTGAGAAAAACATTCAGAAATTAAGTATATAGGTAGAGCGATGGCATAGGAGAAGGGAAGATTTGATGTTAAAGTCTTTAAAAAAGAATATATATAAAAGTATCCTTTCTGAAGTGCAGTATTGGAGAAACCTAGCTGGAGTGAAGGTAAAGGGACTTTTAGGAGAGCCCAACGTATAGAAATACAAAATTACTCGATGGGCCGAGTCGATCCGAAGAGGGGCTTGATATGCGCCCTCATTGGTTAGATGTGGAACGTGACTTATGACTAGCATTTTCTGACTCAAGACAGTCCATTGAAGTGTTTTTGTCCAGCCTTTTGCGCCTGAAAGCAACATGAGCTCAATAGGAGCAGGGGTGAGTCGATTCGTATTTATATTATAAAGTTTATCTTGATATTTAGGTTGTCGTATATGAGCAGATATTATCTCGATGAACAGGCCACGGTGCAGTGTAATCACTGTTTTTTGTATTCGGTCCCACATGCTCGTATTCATGTATCAGTACGTTGGTGAGATCTACATTGTCATTGATTCCACTGGATCCACATTAATCTCACTGGATCCACATTAATCGAAGTTTTAAACTCCAGAGAGCTCCAGTTGAACCAAATTAAGCCTATAGCAACAAGATTATAACAATACATGCTGATATTTTATCACTTTTTTTATCCACAGCAATCAGTAGGGGCGCTGGTCCGAGAATGAGGATCTCGTCTAAACGCAGAAAAAATGAGGAGCGTCTGTATTTTTTTTTCATCGGCGCTCTGTGGGTTACGTGTTACCGAACCGCCCCCTGGCGATGCGAAAAATGGAATCCGCGTAAGAAAATAAATAACCCCAGTTCACTGTCTACTTTTAGGGGATTTATTGCTCATAATTAGGCACATTCATGGGGCGCTAGAGGGCGCTTCGGTCGCGTACGAAAATCTGAATGGCCTTGCTGCGGTGGGTCGGCAATAATCAGCCCAAAACTTGGATATGGGAGGTTGGAAGGATATATCTTTTTTATAATGTTATCCGGTCTTACCCTTAACCATCCTATGTTTAATCTATGTAGGAATAACATGCGAGTATGATAAGAGAAACATCGGGACCATTACTGAAGTAACTTTTAAAATATTAGCCTAGAAATGACCACCAAACGGAAAAAATTGACTTTTTTCCCTGACAAATCTTCATAAAATCTGAGTTATAAACAATTCACATCTAGGTACACTAATACAAATACGATTTTCTGAAAATTCAGGTATGATTTTTTAAGTTTCTTTCAAGAATATTTCTGCGCATTGCAGCGCCAATATTCTTCACTGCTTCAAAATCACCCTTGATTTTTTTTTTTGCAACGAATTTGATACGAGGTAGTGCTGTAGCTTGGAACCCAAAACCCGGACCCGGCCCGACCCGGCAATTTTCCAAATTTCTTAACGGGACCCGGAAAGGTCCGGTAACCCGGTGAGAGTTGGACTGAAATAATATTGACTAGATTCTATTTGAAAGCTACTACAAACACATCTTGTGTGATCTACCGACCTTGTCCTGAATGGAGGGCACATCACTTCATTTTGTTTATCATGCTGTCTGTGAGTCCAGACATAAGTCCCAGGTCAGCATAAATTATCACCCTTAATCCACTCCCTAAAAAGATGAAGCATAAGGCTAGCTACATGTATGTAGGCATCCTAAAAATAGCTCATTTCCCTGTCAGAGTGCCCATACAACATGCTCTACTATGATTGGTCTGTTTGTCTGCCAATTAAAAACAATAATCACATGTAAGGCACATGATAGCTTAACCGATATTTGCATATTTTTGGGAATGTGCGCATAGCAGGACAAAGGCTGCTTGTTGATCCTTTGAACCTTTGAACCCTGTTCAAAGAAACCGCGGTGTAATGTTACACCCAGTTGGGCCGAAGCTGTCTGGCATGCATTAATCTTTGACAGGGAATGTTTTGTATTCTAAATTTCTGTGACATGATAGTGAAAGAGATATATCAGATGTTAATGAATTTTTGGGGGGATCGAGAGACACAATGAAAGAAACTTAAGAAAGAAAAGATAAAATGAGAAAAACTACATTACGTAAATAATACTGTACTTTTTTTTTTTTTTAAGAAAGAAGATCAAATTGATTTGAGGGGGGAAAAGGTTTAAAAATACATTCGGAAGATGAATAAATAGAATTGAAAAAAGGTAAAGATGGAAGGAAGAATGATGATGAAGATAACTTTTTCCTTCTCATCTCTAAAGACTATCAACATTTCACGAACTTATCTTTTTTTTTCTTCTTTTTTTCTTCTAATCTGGGCTAAATCTTGTTGATCAATTTTGGTCAAGAATTAAGGCAGAGAGAGAATGGACCCCAATAATTATCTTGTTTGCTAATTAAATCCGCTTGTCAGGAAGTATTTTGGTGATGGAATTACTCTTTAATTTAACTCTCTGCCGACTTCATTTCAGCTCAGCCTCCACCTCAGGCATAACAAATTTTCACATACACACTCTCAAACACATTATGTAAATTTGCCATTCACTCGTCTATCAGCTAGGTCAACAAACTTCATAATTTATTAATCGTCTGTTCTACAGTGCCAGCGTGTGTGTATTGGGTTTTTACAGACGTGTATCAATCAGATATGATTATTTACGTCTGGGACCGACCTTTAAACGTCACCATCCGAAAGACGTGACTCAGTTTCGAACCTGCGTCCTCGGCTGAATCAGTTTGTAACTTCCACTTTTTAGCTGGATTACAGGCGCACGCCACAACGCCAGCAATCACTGAACTTTAATTTATGCTGGTTTCACTCTCCGCCCACTCGGGGGAAACTTTCTGATTGGTCAGTACAGTAAGCTGATCAGTCACATCACTTGCAGGCAGGGCCAGGGCTAGGGAGATACATATACACACTTGAACACACAACACAAAGTCTATGTGTGCTGTGTCTATTGCAAAGACAGCTCAACAGATGTAAAAGATCGAGCCATCATGCTGTGTTTGTTTACAGTTACTTTTGACGGTTTTATCGTGATGAAAGATAAGTAGATAACGAACAATGAGCTATTTAAAAACTCTTTTTTACTGCCGGGTTTTGTTACCGAGTTGATCAAATTCTGGCTACAGTTCGGCCCGGAACTGGTCCGGCCTGAAATGCCCAACCCGGCGGGTTGGAACCCGGTAAGCCTTCCGGGCTACAGCACTAATACGAGGTCCGCGAGTGTTCCCCGTTCCTTGCGTGTTGAAAGTTTGGTAATACATAGTTTGCATTGACTCGCGCACGAAAAAATAGTCAAAAACAAAATGTCAAATGAAGAAATAAACAAGCTTTTGTATAGTTATAAGAGTTCTACCGAGGTTTATTTGTCGATTTAATTTATTATAATAGTCTCAATTAGAATTCAGAATTATCTCACTGAAAAGTTAAGAAACCGACGATGTTCTCGATCGTAGTTATTTTCATTTTGCCAGCAGCCGATCTAGCGTTGTTTGGGCAAAAAGCTAGGCCGCTACCTTCCCACCGCGAACCTTTCCGAGTCCCGCTAAAATGGCGCGCTGCGGAGCTCCGAAGCTGCGTTGGTATCGCTGCAAACTCTCAGCCGGCTAGCTCACCACGACGGACCATTCGCGGTATGGTGAGAGTGTGTGTGTGAGGTATGATTTTGGATTCGAGAACGCACGCAACGCAACCGTGCGCGTCATTTAGAGCTGTCGAATGTGTACGACCAATTTTACATGTACGATTTTTAGTACAGATACTTGGTCAGTTTTCTTCTTATATCTTTGTTTTTACAACATTTAAAAATATAATTTCTTCAAATCTGCTCCTGACTCGGTTCAGACTAATTGTCTGATGTGTTTTCAAGTCAATTTTTTGAATATATTTTTTTGCATGAATTTGCCTATCATAATGTGAAAGTGTCTGTGTCTACAAAGTTAATGTAAAATACATCAAGAAAATTATCGCGGCACCCGTTTTTCGCATCGCCAATGCGCCGATCAAAAATATGAAACGTCTGCGAAAATGTGGACGATCCTTATTTTTGCAGACGCATCAGTCCGCGTTTACAAAGATCATCCTTGTTTATGCAGACGATCTTTATTTTCAGACCAGCGCCCCTACTGCCAATGGGAGGTTCCATGTGTGCATGATCAGGGATTTAATTCATAATAACTGGCTTGTGATCGGATCTTAGAGCTAAAACATCTGTCCTATGTTAAAAAGCTTTTGATGTGTATGATGTAACACTTTTGTTTCTTTCTTCTTTTTAGTATGATCTCTCAGCATCCCAGTTCTCACCGGATGGGAGAGTGTTCCAGGTGGAGTATGCCATTAAAGCAGTAGAGAATAGTGGCACAGCAGTAGGTCTGCGATGCAAAGATGGTGTTGTATTTGGTGTGGAGAAGCTAGTCACATCTAAGCTTTACGAGCAGGGCTCCAACAAGAGAATATTCACCGTCGACAGACATGTTGGAATGGTAAGCTAGAATTAAAAAATACAGCTAGGCATCAATCAATAAATTGAGCCATTATTCTTTAGATATTTCAGCTCATTATTCTTTCGATATTTCAGCTTTAAAAATATAAAACTAACCAAAACAATGACCACCAAGTCAATAATGTTAGGATTACTTGAAAAACAGAATTTTACATTTATTGTTGGCTTGGATGGACCCAAGTTCCCTACATAAACAGGTCATGATGATTCTGAAGGAAGAGAAACACAAAAGAGATTACGAAGTGGAAAGTAGACGAGATGAAATTGCTCACAAAGTAGTTTCTATTCAACATACTGCAGGATGAACATTCAAACACTGAAATTTATTCTAAAATACTTACCTTGGTTTCCTGTAACTAATGTCAAGAATTTACCCCCACCCCCTCCCTGCCAAAGTAAAAGGGGAAATGTATGTCTTAATATCTTTAATTTTGTTACATTTTTTCATATTGTGAACTTGAAATTTATATCTTAAAAGTTTTTATAATTAGATACAATGGCTGAATTTTCAGTAATACTGTCAACGTGTTAAAAACTATCTTATACTTGTATTTATTCCCCTCTTCTTTGACAGGCTGTTGCTGGTCTTATTGCTGATGCCAGGCAGGTACGTACATACAATCTCTTGTTAAAATGAATTCCATGCATAGGGGCTGCTTCTTGTTATAAGCTGGGACTTTGTCCAGTTAAACTCTCTATCTTTTTGGAATTATTGAATTTCTTTGTTAAGATTCTGCCATCTTATTTCAGTGTAGATGAAATCACATGACAACATTTATTGTTTGAATAGATTAAATATTATAATTGAATATTCTTAAAACATCATTTGAATTCCAAGATAAGAACAAGTACACTTCTGTTTCTATTTCTTATTGATTCTTTCTTTCTTTCTTTTAGGTTGTTGAAATTGCAAGAGAAGAAGCATCAGACTACAGAGCATCCTATGGTACGCCAATCCCAGTCAAAGTAAGTTAAAAATGCATCCGAGTTACACAGATTCCACTTGCCAGGCTTTTGCCTGAATTCCGACCATGTGACATCTCTCTTCCAGGCTTGTAATAATAATAATCCTGAAGCTTTTTATTATTACAAATATTTGTTACCAATACATTTGTTGTTGATCATTTAATAAAAAAAAATAACATTAATAGTTAATGACGATAATGATGATGATATAATGGTTTTCAATTGGATGAAAAGTGATTTTGGAAGTCATATCTGGATCAACATTGTGGTTGAACATTTTCCAAACAAAGACAACTTTCAATGTGTACTTAGCAATTTAGAATAGATATGTTTTTGATCACTGATGATTTCAGATGATAGGGGAACTAACTCTTAAATTTGGAATATGCTTATATTTTCCTTTGTGTTTTCTAAAACAGATAGGAAAATTTATTTTAGTAAAATGAAATAAAAAGAATAGGGGTTATATCTCAAAACAAATTCTGTGACTGTTTGTGATGCTCAGATTGTATGATGGATTGAATTTGTGTAATATTGTCTGTTTGAGTATTGATTCATGCACTTTATGTTGCCAAAAATAGTGATGATGTATAATCTATTATTCTCTGTTTGACAGCACCTCACAGACCGAGTTGCCATGTATGCACATGCCTATACCTTGTACAGTGCAATCAGACCGTTTGGTAGCAGGTGAGACATGATATTTAGCATTGCAATTTCCACATGTGTTCCTAACTCTTTCTATCAAGCCATTATAACCTCCCCCAATCGACTTATCAGTTTGTAAGATGATTCTGCTTTGATGAATGCACTGGAAGAAAAAGCAGAATCTAGAAATAACTTATGGTGCATTATTTGGTTAACTTAAAATATACAGGTAATTCAAAGAATATATGGAATCAATCTTGCAAATTGTAGAGTACCTATTCATTCAATGTATTGCTGTGTCTATTGCATTAGCTTGACATGTACCCCATCAACCTATAAAACAAATGAGTTTCTACCTTTTCACAAGTCAGACTTACAGTCTAACATGTATATCACTTTAAATCGACCCATTCTGCTGTGTGCTTCTATAGCAGGTGACATACAGATAGTGATCATGATTTACAGTACAGTAATATTTTAACTTGTTTTTGTGTAACTGATTAAACCCAACCACAGATAAAATGTTTATGGAGGAATAATTTAATGGTGTTATTTTTTTTAAATAAGGGTGCTTCACCTTTCTTACTCTTAAATTTCGATAAGTGAGTAAATATAGGAAATTTTGTTTCATGCAGCTAGAAAAACCAGCTGTGGTTTCCTGCATCATATATGAATGAGCCTGAAAAGGTCAAACAAAATAACTTTTGTATGGAGGCCTCATTGTATTTTCCTTTTTTTGTTTGTTACCAGTGTCTTATTAGGGTCCTATGAGAAGGACACACCAGGCCTGTACATGATAGATCCATCAGGAGTCTCATGGGTAGGTATCTTCTGCTCTTCGCTACCAGATTAGAAGGAATGATGTTGCTATAGGACAAGGCTCATTATGTCAGAGTTGGAGTTGGAAGAGCTTGTAGAAATATGTCACAAAATTGATTTGAGAACCTATTACATACAGCTGTTGATAGCAGAAACTATATATCAATGATGTAGATCCGTGATGCTCAGCCTTAGCATTTAATCCCATTTTCCCAAATTGTTGTCTTTACCTCGGTCTTGTAAGTTGCACATGTTTCATGCAACAAGGTTTAGTCGGAAAGACTTTTTGATTCAATAACAAAACCTTTACTTTTCAATGAGGGACATTCTTAACTAAAGGTTAACATTATATTTGGTACAAGCTATGTACCGATAACAGGAACTTGTAAATTGTAACTTATTTATTTCAAAATAGTAATATATAGCAGTTGACAAATCTCTTTCATTTATGCGAAACCTTCACCCCAGAAGAGCACCAACTTATGCATTCTGACAATTGTAAAGCAAAGGATAATAGCAGGTGAATGAAATGCTTCATCACCAGGCACACCTGGGAAGGAAGCATCCATAGATTTGAATGCATTTACTTGATAAACAACTTCACATAGTATGTCACGTTATCAAGAAAATGGCGATGCCCATGTTGTCCTGAGAAACAGTACATTATTCTTGCTTTATGCCTCTCTTGTACCCCATTCACAGTGGCCTCAAACACCGCGACAGCAGCGGGACTGTCCCGCTGCTGTCGCGGTGTTGTCTTCAGTGTGAAGGCTCGGACCCGTTATAAACTATCGCGGGATAACACCGCCTCGCGATAACGCCGCGACAAACTATCGCTAGGTTCGCCTAGCTACAGCAGCGGGACAGTCCCGCTGCTGTCGCGGTGTTTACTCAGTGTGAAGGCTCTCCGCTATAACACCGCGACAAACACGTGTGATTTGTTTACTTACCTATCACTGACCTCTTTTCTCCAGCAATGGGGAACATAAAGTGAAATAGAAATAAAGTAACCAGTGGATTCAAATTGATTTTATTATTATGTAGATATTATAATTATCCAAATAAAAATATTTCACACTTCAAAAAATTAAAATATTCTGACTGGAAGCAATAAAAATGCTAGTTTTTTAAAAAGTAATATGATAAAACCCCGCGCTGAAGTATTTCCGGTCATATCGGGGTCACTCGCGGGTCATGAGCCATGCATACACGTGTTTGTTACGGAGGTAATAAAAATCACCCGCTGCAGCGTGAATGGGTACATGATATTTATCCCGCTGCTGCAGCGGGATAACTTTTCTACTGTGAATGCATTTGTAGCGGTGTTATGGCGGTGTCGCCGCTCCGCTACAACGCCGCTACAAATTTCAAAACCACTGTGAATGGGGTATAATACACTTTGGTCTTTGGTGGGAATCTTGTAGATTAATGGGCAAGAATACAATAAATATTTCTGAATAACTAAAGCTATTTTGGCAGTGAGGTTTCTTTTATGTATAGAAGAACACAATAGACATGCCAGCTGTAATGCACATACCAATGTAATACACATACCAGCCAGTTGCAACAGGACAAGAAATGGATACCTGAATAGCATACCATTACCACTATAGAAAGAGTGACACTGATGTGAGCTTCCAAGCCACTTCACTACCAGCAGCCAAGTAGAAAGGACACTCCCTTAACTCATTCATTTTGAAGTGTATAGTGTAAAACCAACATATTGGATCCCTAACAAACCAAGATAACTAGAGACAGAAAAAGAGAATAAACTGAAATTGTTATTTTGTGACAGGGATACTATGGCTGTGCGATAGGAAAGGCAAAGCAAGGTGCAAAGACCGAGATTGAGAAACTATTGGCAGGAGACAAACAGCTCAAGAACCTCACGTGTGAAGAAGCCCTCAAAGAAGTCGCCAAGATGTATGTATCATTCTGCATGTACAGTGAAACCTGTGTATAAAGACCACCCAATGGAGACAAGAAATTTGATCTTTATAGGCAGGTGGTCTTTGTAGACATGGTTCCTTTAGTACATGTTTCAATGAAAAACCATTTTCAAGGGAAACAAAAAATGTAGTCTTTGTAGACAGGTGGTTCCTAAAGCAGGTTTGACTGTATGTAAATTTTTATGCCTCCGTTACGAAGTAGCCGGAGGCATTATGTTTTCGGGTTGTCCGTCCGTCCGTACGTCCGTACGTCCGTACGTCCCGTTCTCGTGATCGCGTTATCTGAAGAACCGATTGATGGATTCCTGCCAAACTTTGGTCATGTATGTATCTTGCAGAGCCGATGAACTGATTAGATTTTGGGGTCACAAGGTCAAAGGTCAAAGGTCACAGGGCTCATTATGTATGCAAAAACAGCTCGTGATCGCGTTATCTGAAGAACCGATTGATGGATTCCTGCCAAACTTTGGTCATGTATGTATCTTACAAAGCCGATGAACTGATTAGATTTTGGGGTCACAAGGTCAAAGGTCAAAGGGCTCATTATGTATGCAAAAACAGCTCGTGATCGCGTTATCTGAAGAACCGATTGATGGATTCCTGCCAAACTTTGGTCATGTATGTATCTTACAGAGCCGATGAACTGATTAGATTTTGGGGTCACGAGGTCAAAGGTCACAGGGCTTATTATGTATGCAAAAACAGCTCGTGATCGCGTTATCTGAAGAACCGATTGATGGATTCCTGCCAAACTTAGGTCATGTTTGTTACTTGCAGAGCCGATGAACTGATTAGATTTTGGGGTCATCAGGTCAAGGTCAAAGGTCATGCGGCTTATTATGTATTGAAAAATAGCTTGTGATCGCATTATCATTAGAACAGATTGATGGATTCCTGCCAAACTTAGTTTATGTATGTATCTTGCAGAGCCAATGAACTGAGTAGATTCTTGGGTCATGAGGTCATAGGTCAAAGGTCATGGGCTCATAATGTATGCAAAAATAGCTTGTGAACGCATTCTCATTAGAACTGACAGAGGGATTACTATTTAACTCGGGACATCTTGCAGAGCCAATGAGCTGAGTAGATTTTAGGGTCATGAGGTCAAAGATCAAAGGGTCATATATGTATATGAGAAATTGCTTGTAATCACGATATTCTGAGAACCTGTTAATGGATTACAATTGAACTTGAATTTGACAAATTTCTTCTGTTTTGGTTTGTAAAATTGCTCTATGACGGAGGCATCATTTCGACTGCACGCAGTTGAAGTTCCATCTAGTTCATTTTTAAATTCTCTTACAAGTAAAGGTGAATTTGCCCTTTATTTAAAAAAAGGCTTTATAGATAACAGGAAAGTTATAGAAACTTATCAGATAGACTGAGAAAAATTGTATAAAATAAGAACATCTTGAATATTTGATGTTTGAAATTACTGCCATGATCTGCCATTGTTAGTGCAGCCATTATGTATCTCTTGATTTTCAAGAAGACAATTTATTTATCAAGATGGGATGTGCTTGTTTATATATTTCTCATCAGTCCCTTTTTTCTTTTTTATATGAATGAAACTGCATCCTATTGTACTGCAAAATATGATATTTAGAGTGGAGTAATTGAACAAGATTGATTTTTTACAAAATTAATACTATTTTATTTTGATGAACTTGTGTTCTATATATAACCGAGTCTTTGATTATGTTACCTTTTCCAATGAACACAAAAGTTTATTTCCTCATCATTTTATCATTGCTTGACAATTTGAAATATATTTTGATATACTTTCTCTCCTAGTATTCACATAGTACATGATGAGATCAAGGATAAAGCCTTTGAACTAGAGCTTAGCTGGGTTGGAAAGGTTTCAAATGGTCGCCATGAATTAGTTCCTAAGAAGATTGCTGATGAAGCAATCAAGTATGGAAAGGTAAGCAATTCTTTTCTTCTTTATCTTCTTTTAAATGTATTCTCTATTATTTAAAAATGAAAAAGTTTGGATGAAAATCAAGACATCAAAGTTAGTATTTAATCGTTAATCTCATTAAATATGTTTGAATCATTAAATAAGTTAGAGAAGATGGTATAAGTTCTGATGGGAAGTGTATTTTTTTTCAAAAATGTATAAAAGTAAGGCCTTATTATGAATATATTTATTCCATATTCCTTGAAAAAAAATTCACATACTTTCTTGGTAACAATGATTTTAGACTATACTGTATTCGACTTAACCATGTACACTCATTGTTTTTTTCAAAAAAATGGTGAACACTTGTATTAGATTTGCTCTACATGTAAATATAGTAAATGATATCAAATCGCCATGCAGAGAAATCAACTTAACTGTGTATCTACTTGTCTTTGAAATTCTAATAGAATTCTACTAATCTTGATTCTTTTCCTTCTTTTTTCTTCTTCAACAGGAGGCATTAGAGGAACCATCCAGCTCTGATGAGGATGACTTGTAACCATAACAATAATTTTCTCTCTGTGAATATTTCCAACTTTTGTACAGCTATTAGAAAGTAATGTTAAGTACCTTTGTTTGGATGTTCTCTGATGATCAGTTTAACTGTCCAACACTAGAGAAGTCTAGTGTATAAATGTAGTAAAGACACACAGATCAATAAGATTCCAAATGGACCTATGGATAATGATTTTCCATCTAAAGTATTCATTTTGTCTGTTAAGATATGTGTTGTTTATGCAGGGTCATGTATTAAAGGATAGTTCTCCAAGATGCACACCTGCATTCTCCCTATATCCCAATTATGTTTCTGTATGTTGCTAGATCATTTTACATTTTTGGTTACTGTATGAATTGGCTGTACGAACATGATTTGTTACAGAGTTTTAATAGAAACAGTCATGTATTCACACTTACTGATGAATTACCAATAACAGACTTTTGTCTCCATTTTGTGTTAAGATAATAATTTCTGACTATTAAAACTAGCAATATTTGCTTATTGGAGGAAGGAAAAACATGTGAAAGTTGTACTTCAAGGACTTAATCCAAGTATGGCGATGTTACCTTTATATAGGGCTGTCCATTCAGTGATCAGGTATGGTTTATACTACTGTATAGATCTATTGGAGAACATTGCTAACAATACTGGAATTTTTGTTGGTTAAAGGCAGTTTCCCTGTAGGAAAAAAAAATCACTTTTGGGAATTGTGTATAATTATGTCAAGATATCCAAGCTTTCAGATGATGGAACAGCAACATCAAATCTTTGTAATTTTTATGTGGTGAAAGTTCCTTGTTTTACAGTATGTAAAATCTCATGACCAATATAGTATACCTTCTAAGTGCAGAATTCATAACAGACAATTTAAGATCATTTTAGAATTTACTGTATTTTTTGTACTGTGTCTCTTTCACGTGACATATTAGCATTCTTAATTCAAAGCCACTGGTATTAACTATAGGTTCAGAATGTGTCTTCTACTCTACTTTATGTAGTAGCAGTGAGAAAACTGATAAAGTGAAGCCTTGTTGAAAATGAAAATACTCCTTGGAAGTAAGGAATTATCATTCTATATTGAAATCCCTTCAAATCCGTTTTATCAGGACCTGTACACAATAAGACACAAAGAAGTTGAAAGGAAAAAAAAATCATCTTATTTGTAATAACAACTTGTCACAGTCCTTTTATACAAATGTAATACCCGTTTCTGCAAGAGGTGATCCAGATCCATGTACCTGCATTCTTTGTGTTCTATAATACTTAAAATCTCTTTGGTTTACATGTACCTGTGTTATAAACATTTATTTGTAATAAATGATTGAGGATCATTGTACATTGAACTTCTGTGTTTAATGTTTAATAATTATGTATTGAAGGATTGCTTATACATGTAGTCATGAGTGTGCATGTGGATATAGTGTGATGTGTAGTCAGTGTGGCATTATATTTGAAGAGTTTTGTTGCAATATGATGATGAAAAAAACATTGTTTTGGACCATGATTTTATGCAAGAACATGAAATAAATATTAAATGATCAGCTTACTTGTATTAGAGTAAAAGTACCTTGAAAAGAAATGTTCAATTATTTTGTGTAACATGCAATATATCCACAAATTTGTTTCACTGGAAAATGCAATACATCTATGGTAAAGTTCATTCACCTACTGTTTAATATAATTCTAGTTAATGTTTATTCTGACATTACAAAATCCATTCTGTACTAAGAGCTTGATTTTGAGGTCAGTAGAGCGAAATATTACAAATAGTTTGAATTCCATAAATCTACTGAGTAGGAGCATCGCACATGAATTCCACAAGACACCTCCTTCCCACTGCGCATCTACGCCTCACCACGCATATTCACTGTTTTTGTTGTGTGCATCCATTGCATCATGAATACACACTGGATATATTGCACTTTACTCTGAAGCAGGAATGGTGTTTATTGTGTTTTTGACCCATGATCAATGAATCTTGAAAATGTGTTGCAGGAAACTGATTATAGATCCAGGTATAATACCATCTTTCTTTGAACCATTTACTTTACCTATTTCGGATTTGGTGTTTATTGCGTTTTAAAATGAAACCTCATTTGTAGCCTGGAAAACGCCTTTTTTTCTGTCAAGAGAAAGTAGTTAATTTAGGAATTGATAAACCTGGGGGGCGTTTCACAAAGACTAAGATTGACTTTAAGTTGAACCATGGCAGGCCGTTCTTGCCACTGTTTTGCTCTCACCCTTTATTGGCATTGGGCTCTCAAGGAACGTACAAACCATAGTCGCAAATCTACAGAATTTTACATTTTTTTGACAATTCATTATTTAAAGTAAGTAGTGGCATGAATGGCCTGCCATCATTAAGTTGATCATAGTGTTTGCGAAACAACCCCCTGATTTTTTTTTCTTCAGATCTTGATCCTATTACATCCATTATCTTGTCATTGTATGTATGTTCATTTGTCTTTCTCATTGCTTCCATAATTTTCATCCTCCCCTTTCCTCCCAATCATAATTCACACTATAATCTTTACATTGCCTGCCATACATCATTTATTCCTCATAACTTTACTTTTGTCACGATCATTTCTCACCATCCTGCTCTCCTTGGATTATCACATTTTAATGGTGCATTTCTGTTCCTGTTGGAAGGAAACCAACTTGCATGATGGAGCTATCCAAAAACAAATGTTTATTGGAGATGTTCACCAATAAATTGTGAAGCTTTAATAACCATTCAAATTTTTAATTACTGGTAAATTAACACAATTCATAATGGCCTACTTTCTTGAATTATCTGAACAGAAAAAATAGAGAAAGAGAGATAATGGTGACAGAAAGAGGAAAAGAAACAAAAACCAGTTGGCAACTGCAAAACAAGAAATATGAAAAAAGCTAAAAACAGAAGATGATCTTCCTGCAAGTTATGAAAATTTATTTATAAATATCTCAAAATAATCATCACATAGGTTCACAGACATAATGAAAAACCTCATTGACAACAAAATACGGTAATGTTATTTTATAGTTGACATCTGTCTTCCAAATGCAAATATGTGCATACAGATGAACTCAATGTTTACTTCATGTTATGCAACACCTTCAACAAATATACAATACAGTGGAAACTCGTTGTAGAAAGCTCTGAATGACTAGATACTTGGTACGTCAAAATAATTTTGTTGGTCCCAGGTATTTAACATTCTTCTCTTTAAAAAATATCCTGATATAACAAGATAATTGTCATGGTCCCAATCATAACCAATGTTCTTGTTACAATGAGTTTCCACTGTACACACCTATAAATACCCTTGAAAAACAGGCACAGACTAGAAGCAATTGGAACAATTATCATTAATCAATAATCACACAAAAGAGCTACATGTAAACCGGTATAGCAAATATATAAACTTTAGGTGGAAACATTGATATTTCAAATTCAAAGAAAAGTATAATTTAATTTGCCAACATGTGCAGGAGGGAGGGAGAGGCAATCGATAATCAGTTTTCTTTCACTTTACCCCTCTCCTATCCACAATGCTATAGCACCTCTACAGGGCATACCCTTAAAAGCAAAATGTCTTGCATACCATTACAATTATATTATGCCTAAAAACAGTACACAAGAATTGTATTATAAAATCTCAACATGGCTGGAAAATTCTCATCTTTCACAGACATGCATCATAGATTCATGATTAGTTTACATCGGATGAACAATGCATGTACTAGATTTGTCAAATGTGTGATAACCTTGACTTGACACTCAAACTCGTGTAGTACAGAACGTTTACCCGGTCACTCATCCCTGCAAGAACGTCAAGTACTTGAAAGGTACATGTATACAAAACGAAATAAAGTATAAATTATCATAATATAATAATCATACTACTAATTGTAAGGGGCTTTGTATTTCAAAATTTAACACTTATTACAGGAATACATTAATCATGATAGTCATACATTTGTACATGTTATATGTATTTATTATGTTGTGCATTATAATCAGGAAGAGACTAAAATAAAAAGAAAGACCACAACGTCACTTACATTAAAACAAACAATAATTGAGTACTATCAGATTTTAAAAAAAAACTCACTCCTCTTGGGGACTGCAAAAATATCACATTTCTTGGAATTTTTAATTTGCAAAACACATACAATATTCAGAGCAAGCAAGATAGAGATAGAAAAAGAGATCACAAAAATAAACAGCATTTTTCCCTCAGCTATTGTCAAACTTACATTCTTGGGAGTAAAGAAGAGGGAGTAAAGAAGAGGAAGTTTTTAGAATTTACATGAATCTAGAACCGATTTATATTGGGTGTTGAAGATTTAGCGACTGCATTATGTACAATGTTGTGTATTTCCTTGGAAAGATGGTTTTGACTGGAAGCTTTGAAAGGCTCCTTCCATGGCACTTAGTACAGAATCATAAATGTCTGATATCCTTGGACTTGGAGTCAGTTGATGAAGCACTGAGGAAATAGAAAGAGTAACACACTCCGGAGCAGCTGTAGACCAGGATACATCGATCAGCACCTTCATGATGATATCCCTTCAGTACTGCAGTCAATCATTTATGTCTTATCCTTTGCCGCTTTGTTATCATTCCGACATCTATCCGATTTTCTGTCATGTTGTCTGCGAGTCCATTTCAAGAAGTCCAAGGTAACCAAGGATCATGGTGCAATGAGAAGGCAGGTAGATGTAAGTAGTGTAGGCAGCAGTTGCGATAGTCAGCACAATGATTGAATCTGAGATTCCTATAGTTAAGGAAAAAAACTTTTGTGTATACATCCAGAATAGTAGAAATAAAAATACAATAGAACATCATGAAATTACAAATATATGGCACTAATCCTCATTCAGTTAATCTAAGGAATTCCTCATTACGGTCGCTAACTTCACACAGCCACACACGCACGCGCGCCCCTGCAACCCACCGGCGGTAAGGTATGCAATCGTATTGTGTAGCAGTTTGCCGTGAATCTTGTGAGAAACACAAGTCTTTGTTTTTTAGGAAAATTAGATCTAGACCCTACTCCAAATAGGTAAGAAAATTGAAATGAAACAGCCACAAAATATAACGACTTCTAATTCATGACCATTATTTGAACAATTGATGAAGGTTTAGTCTAGTTGAATTCTAATATGTTTAAGTAGGGTATTTCCACGCCGAAGTTACGGGTCAAAATAAGGATATGATTCTGAATTAGCGCCCCATTGCCGTTACCTTTGCAGAGAGCCTGCAGCTTCAGTCTACACATCATTTTCTTATCACACCCATAATAATGAACGTGTGGGACTGAACTGTTTTATGATTCACATTTTGATGTCTAAAAGGATACTGAAAGTCCATCTTTCTGCCGGTTCCAGCATATAAACAGCAGTCACAAGTGTATATTGAGTATAAATCCAACATATATAGTCTTTTAAACGACGAAACACGTTCATCTTTGTATCAATTTTAGTCCCTTCGTCCTCGTATTTTTGGAATACACCACACCTTTTTATTCAATAGCGCAGGAATAAATAATATTGAGTCGCTCGCTCGCTTTGATCTGTTGTGCATTATAGTATGGTACACATAGTGAGATGGTGAAGAGGATGATAGTGGAATGGTGATGAAAATGATAAAAGTCAATTGTGATGAGGATGACTGATTTTTGTTGTTGATATAGTTAAATTAAGCCCATAAAAATGAGCAATATCTGTAACGTAGGTAATTAGTTTGCCAATTAATTGTTTATTTTACACAAACTTACACTGCACGTGTATTTTCCGGAAATTCGACATGAAGGTTTGTCAAAGTAAAGGAGGCTCTATATTATTAAAAAGGATAAAGGGCACTTCTAAGAAAGGAAAATGGAGTATGTGTCATAATGAAATAAAAGGGCAATTATCAGAGGTAAAACTAAAAGGGGCACCTCTTAGATTTTTATAGGGGCAATTATCTGAGGTAAAGGGGGCACTTATCAGATGTAAAAGGAGGCAAATTTTCTTTGAAAAAGGGGCAATTTTGGGGGAAATGAAAAAGGGAGCACTGCCCCCCCCCCCCTCTGAGCGCCCCCTCTGCTCCCCACTCCTCCTCTTTGTGTGCTAATCCCATCCTACCTCTCCCCCACCCGACTCCGCCCTTATCCACAATACCCCTACCTCCCATTTGTTTGGCAATCAATCACACCTCTTCCCATTATTCCATGGCACCATTCCTCCTAGTAGATTGGTTTACTAACAAAAGTTGTTTTTGATAACCGGAAAGCTTGCCCAATGTTTGCCAGACATGGTAACAAGTTATGTATGCAAAGTGGATTCCTAGTATTGTATTTCAAGTCTCTTTGTTGTCTCTCTTATTTCTCTATCTCTTTCTCTCTTTCTTCACCTACTCCTTGTCACATTGTTTCACCTCTCCTCTCTTCAGATATTCCACCTTCTGCTCTCTTATTTTACCTTTTCACACATTTTTGTCACGTCTCTTTCCCTCTCTTTCCCATCCCCATTTTATCTCTCGTGTAGTCTGTTTTAGTATTTCCTTACTCAACAATCCAAACATACAATTCCATTCGCCTTCCACCGTACCTTTTATTGCATCAATGTACATGTAATATTTCAATACCAGTGATAGCTGTAAATATTCAGGTCCAATGCAACTCTAGTCCTATCTTTTTTTTTTCATTTTTAGAAAGAATGAGAAACATTTGAGAAATAATAAATATAAAATGATTACAGTAAAGGATGTGACTGGTTTAGCAATTTACAACAAGGGTGATTTCTTTTAATATTTGAGTACCGGTATACTATGCAGAATACATTGCTCTTAGAGCTCAAGACAAAACTACAGTGTCTGAAAATTGAAACCAACTTTTTTTTAATAATCTTTTTTTAAAGGCAAAATAAGTACAATCTACATGAAAGTGAAAAAGTTTAGAAAGAAAAAAAATTCAAAAGAATTCAGCCCATATCTTCCTGCCCTTGTTCAATCAGCAAAATTCAAATATTAACACTACTAGTACTGAAACAAAATGTGACATAATATATACAAATAACTCTAAACTAATCATCTTCATCGGTTGATGTCACTTTATATGAATGTTTATAAGTATAAGGGGAGGGGAGGTATCTAATACATTATCAAATGTATTTCATAATATTAGCAAAAACATGAATCACACTTCTGTATTTCAGTTGTTCATAATGATTGATTTGTTTTACCACAAAACAAAAAGTGCTCACACACAGAGTCACAGACTCGATCCTTAAAAGATCATCCCCCGACATGATCCCTACTCTTACTACTAACACAATGTCACATATGCACAGAAAGACATTTCATAAAGGAATACAAAATACATATACAGTGTACATTCAAGGCTAGTTCAAGGCTAGTTCACATATGATGAGGAAAACTGTAACTATATATGTATCAATGTATTCAGATATATATGCATGTACCTGGAAGTGATTTTGATCTTTACATTCTGGTCAAAGTTCTGCAAATAAGTTCATGAAATAAGTATCACTTTGATACCCTGTGAGTTGCTCTGAAATTCCCATTTAAAAAAACAGTTCTTCAACTGATTTCTTGAGATCAATGTCATTTGTCATCTTCCTGTTCATCACTTTGATCTTCCCATTCTGGCCAGAGTTCTTTAAATGATTCAAGGATATCAAACTCGCTCTTTTCTTCCTGTGACAAGGCTTTGTTTCCAGGACGAACTACAATGGCTGACTTGAGCCCTGCCTCTTTGGCTGGTCTGGCCTCTGCAAGAGAGAGAGAGAGAGAGAGAGAGAAATTAAAGAAATTTAATCTGTTACACATCAATAAATATATGCATTAAAAATAAATAAGCAAGAGAGAAAGAAAAATCAACAACAAAAATGAAAACAGAGAAGAAGAAAAAGAAATAAATAAAGAAGAAGAAGTTAAAAATAATAATAATAATAATGAGAGGCAGAAGAAAGGAAGAAAAAATAAAATGATTTTGAAGCAAGTGTGAAGGGATCAGATACTTGAAGTTATAATCCCAACACAAATACTTGGATGATTACCGGTACAGACAATTAATAAAAGATGCATGTAGATTTGAGCCTACATGATTAAAAATAGCAGTGCTTGTGTATGTGTCAGGCATGAATATTAACACATTGATTCTCCCATTCCATATGTTTATTGCAGGAATCTGACGATTCCGGGAGGAAATGGGTTAATATTCTATACCCTAGTCACTCCTATGAGACCACCATCAGCCTGACTACAGATCAAACAAGAAAAATACACCCCTTCTAATGACCAAAAAGTGGTCAGTTAGGAGTGGGTTGAGGTCAATTTGGCTATGTGACTAAGGTATCAAACCAAACAAATATGTTAGCATGAGATAGAAAAGATATCATAGGATGTATTGTACTTTTTGAATAATGCTCTTTTAGCATACCTCGAGTGACATCAGTAAGAAAGAGAATCTCTCCTGGCTCCACCTGTAGATCTTCAGCAATCTGTGTGTAACTGTCTTTCTCTACCTTGGCTCCTATCTTGGTGTCATAGTGGCCAGATAGAAGCTACAACAAAAACATTTCAAATAAAATTCTTCATCAATGTACAAAGATGATATACAGTCATGTATGATGGCAACCACCAGACACTTGACTTGGGTCGGTATTCTACTAAGTTAAACCTGATGCTGGGTGTAAGATCATAGTTAACAATCTTCCTTTGCTAAGCCCAATTTTGGACACAAGCTTAAACCCATCGACAGGTTTAGATTTTTGTAGAATACAGGCCAAAGATAATAAAAAAAAAATATAAGGAATGTATCATGCCATCATTCTCACAAGATTCACAAAGTATGGTAGTATCGTTAACTAAGAGTACAAGCTGTCCATTTATTCATTTCCATCATAATATTTCTATTATACGCAGGAAACTACTTCAATCAACAATCAATTCCAGTAAAGTTAACATCGACTCATGAATAAATAGTTCCTGCTTAAAAATTTTATTTTTTAAACAACAAAGAATCAAAATGAGTATGCTTGTTATTAGGGGAAAACACAAGAATGACACTAAATAGTATTTCATAAGTTATTTCAGAAGAGCCTAACTAGATCAAAATTACAGGAAGCCTTCAAAAACAGACTAAACTTTTTTTTTTTAATAAAGGCTTTTGACCATTGCATACAATCCCAATCCCCAATAATCACATACCCCGGTAATGACAAAGGAGGAATCTTTGTTTACTTACTGGTAATATATCTCCTTCAACACTATTACCGAAGAGAAGCTTTTGAGCATGGACACTGCCTGATGAATAGATACATACATCTTTACCTTCTGTTTTCCATCTCTTGATGCATGGCACAACGTCTTCATATAAGCTACAAACAAATCACAAGAAAATGTACCAACATGAAATTTATAGGAATATACATATAGGAATTTGATTTGAAGTAATATAGTAATTACGATTCTTTATAAATGAAATTTATATGTACATGTATATTGGCAGTGCATCACTTAAATAAGGAACAAATAATTTACTGAAAATCATATAAACAGCTGTTTGTTTGTGTGTTTAACCCGACTGCTGAGAAAGCATTTGTATGCTTGTAAGCAAACAGGGGACTGACAGCTTTAATTCCTCTCTGAAGGAATTGGTAATGAGGATGAATGCCTTACCAATGGGCACTAGTGCTTCAACTTAGTTTCGAACTGGGATCTTCCGGTTACAAAACCACTGCTCTTCTACTGATCCATCGCGCCTCCTCTTTCAATCATGTGTTTGTTACTTACATAGAATAAGAGAAAGGAAAATGCTTCGGACATTTCTACATCACCAGACTATTACTGACACACAATAACTGACTATTATCCAATGGATCTTACACTCACTCTCCCTTCAGCTTGGATCCATAAGCTTCTTGCCACATATGACCCTGTAGCTGCTTGAGAGCGGTCACCTTACGGTCATTGTCCATCAGCCAAAGAACACTCTTCACTACAGCATCCTTCATGGTCTTCTCATCACACTCCTTGTCACACAAGTCTGGAATAGATACAACTCCTTCAGCTGCTTTGTCTGACTCAGCCTGTATTAAAAAGTTACATAAAAAAATGTCATTCTGAATGGTAAAACTCTGAGCAGATTTTTGAGAGCAATTAGTAACTCATCGTCACAATGTATTTCATTTGCACTTCTTCCTCTTGAAAAAATGAGTTCTTTCTGTTTCTCTCATTTCTTTTTTAGCATGTACGTAACCAAAAATGGTCCCTGTCTGAGTGCTGTGAGCCATTTTGTTCTTTCTCTCTCTCCACCCATCTCTCTTTCTTTTTTCTCATTTTTGGTGATTTTGACAATTTGACTGAAATTGACTCAGACTGTAATTACTGTTATTAGACAGCTTTTATGTGCTCAATATTTTGGCCATTCCAAGTGAAGAAATTTATTTACCATGAAATAATACTTCTGGAATATCAAATTCATCCACTTCTGGTAAGATTTACCTGTAATCTGAGTGCCTCTATATCTTGTTGACATGGCTCTTCTTTCCAGTGAACATCTAAATATTCTGCCACATTCTCTCTGATGTATGGAAACAAAACATCCTGGAAGGAGGAAAATGTGCAAGAGGTTTACAAAAGTGGTTAAAATCGACAGCTAAAATTCTCTACATCACATTCATGTACACCTTAAAACAAAACAAAATGTTGTGTTGCAGCGATTTTTTGAAAAGATTTGCTTCTCATCAATACCTGAGGTAATGTTATTTTTAAACTTCTTGTTGGATATAGCTTCATTGCAGTCTATGATCCTACAGAATCGGTTTCACAAATCTTGTGATCTTCCTCAACAAAATGCTGCACATTTAAGAAAAGGAAAAGAAGATATCTTTAAAATGATTGTGGTAAGCTGGTGTTGACTAGAACTTACTGCAACAAATGTGATAGGAGTAGTGGTTCCTTCTATATCCAGTAAGATTATCTTGGTGTCATTTTGAAGAGATGAAATGGCCGACTCGACTTCCTTTCGTCTCTTTGGAGGTGGAGAGGAAGACATCTTGGAACTGAAATAATAAAGTCAAGATTGCATATTATTCTACAACATATCATGATCAGTAAATGGCTCGAGATTATTTATTTAAACAAAAAATGTTAAGATGTTAAGATTTGCTGAGGAGCTAAATTGAATAGATTAATTTGTGTGAAGAGGAGGGAGATAACTTTGATTTACATGAAGGATGCATGCTGGTAGTTATGCCTATTAATGCTAGAAAGGTGTGTCAGCAAGACATTGTTCGTATATATTTGTTTTTAACTGTTTTTGGTAAAGCCAAGTAATTATTTGCGAATATAATGATGCAATAGTTACTGTAATTTTTGTGACTTAAATTTTGATTTTCTACAGCAACTGAAGTGACCTTTGTCAAGGGTCTTCTACCCTCTTTTGTTTGATATGAACATGACGAAATAAAGATTGGCCTCATTCCCAATTATAGAGCCGCATATATAATCAACAACTGCTTCGTCTGATTTATGACTTTGAGTATACCCTCACATTATTTTAATGATCCACAGAGCAATGTTCATCGGGTGAGGGAAGGGGCGGTGGTACGTGAGTTCGCCGGACGCATATTACTTTTTAGGTTTTGTTTACTTACCTCTCCGCACGCTCAGGGGTATATTCAATTCAATTCAATTCATTTATTTTTCCTCTTTCAATCGTTCATATTTACAATGATGATTTTTAACATATTCACATATGGGTGCCTTATTGGCATCAACATACTAGTCCTTAAGAAGTTAAGGCTGGACTAAATGAGGAATAAATCGAGTAATACTATATAACCCAATTGGATACTACTACTAGACCAACTGGTTGCAGACCAAACGGCAATAAACAGCCTTTGCCCATCAGACCAAGCTTGCCCGGCCGGTCCCGGCCCTGAGGGCTGCCGGGGCGGTGCATATCTCGCGGCGCTGTTCAAGCGACACACACATTAACAGTTCGCAAGTAGATCTAGAGGTCAATATACAAGTTACTACCATGTTTACTTTGTACCTTAATATGGTCCTTCTCGTGTAATGTGACCGATAAACGGTGACCAGATAATAGTTATTGAAACATTTACTTACAAATATGGGAACTCGAACTCCGACAAGTTTATTGTTTACAGTGTACACGTACAGTACACGTGGGCTTGTTTATTCGGATATCAATAACTGACCTCTGATGATATCAATATTGTATGTGACTATTATGCACGTACGCGCGCCGCTACAGCTCAGATATTTGATGGATATATCAGAGAGTTGGAACTCCCTGGATAGGATATATCGGGGGATATATGAGCACTCCACAGAGTGGATTTGGCGCGATATAAGTTACATTATTATTATTATTATTATTATATACCCATCAGCTAGGGGCGGTATTCTTAAAATTGGACATAATCATGATGGTAGAGCGCTAATAATATATTTTTGTAAGTTGGTATTCTGAAAATGCCCTAGATCTCCTGAAGCTGAAGGACCAGAGCTCTAATCTTATCGGTTTGACACGCCCATTTTTTTGGACCCTATCCCAAGGTCGGTTTGGGCGGAAGTTGTCGATCCTGTCTCGCCTCTTGGTTGCTTTTGATTTTTTTCGTCAGCATTAATTGATAGCGCAAATAAACTCATGTAAATTAAGGTGTCAAAATAAGTGGTGAATCAGTGGATTTAGAACGAGAAAAAAAAAAGAGCTCTACCATAGTTTTCGTTGAAAATAAGCTTGAAGGTCGGTATACTAGGCCTACATGCCACTGTTTACATTATGATAAGCTAGAAATTTAGGATGGATTACTTTTTTTATTAAATTTCGTAGCGGAGTCTATCAAAAATTATTAAATATTCTCCTTCTCACTTATAATGAATACAAACTTTGGGTTTAAGAAATGGAGGGGGAAAAAATGTCACCAGCAATGTATAAAAGGTCTTTCTCTGCATAGGCCTACTAATGGAATGTCACTTGCTGCAAAATTAATTCTCCATATTCAATCATGTCAGCCTTCGTATATTCCTTAACCGCAGGGGCGGCCCTCCGGGGGGGGGGCACAGTGCCCCCACTTTTTCAAGCACCCGAAAAGTGTCCCTTTTTACATAGGAAAAGTGCCCCTTTAACTTTTAAGAAGTGCCCCGTTTTATATAGGAATAGTGCCCCTTTTACTTTGAAAAGTGCCCCCTTCGACAGGTTCCCATTTTCCTTTGCAATAAGTGTCCATTTTCCATTCACATAAGTGCCCTTTTTAATCTCTAGTAAGTGCCCCTTTTCCATTAAAAGAGAGCCCCTCCCACTTCTCATAAGTGCCCCTTCTCTGGTAAATGACCCTTTTCAGGTACGAAAAGTTACTCCTTTTCACTTCAGATAAGTGCCCCTTCACCTCGGATAAATGCCTCTATAAAATCTGATCGGTGCCCATTTTCTTTTAACTAATTTTCCTTTATTACAAGTGCACTTTTTTCATTCACATAAGTGCCCCTTTTCATATCTGGTCACTGCCCCTTTTCAGGTGCGATAAGTGCCTCTTTTCACCTCTGATAATTTCCCTTTTAACAAAATATATCAATATCTTATAAATAAAATCTGACGGGGCCCCTTTTACGTCGATAAATGCCTATTTCCTAACCTCATGACTGAATGTTTTCGTCTCTGGTGAGTGCCTCTTTTTGAGGGTGTAAGAAGTGCCCCATTTTTACCTCTAATAATTACTCTTTATACTTTGGCACATTATGCTCCTTTTCTTTCCTGGTAAGTGTCCCCTTTTCCTCTCATCATTAAACCAGCCCTAGCTAATTTCAAGCGACTAAGAGCAATTTCCCCAAAAGCTAGCTCGCTACGCTCGCACGCATATATAGATGATATACTTCCGTTACTTATCAAAGGTCTTTTCAGTCTTCCGTTATGAGCATGTGCTTATAATCTCATTAGGATTCGATTTTTCCTCTTTATAAGATGTAATTTTTCGCACTGGCTGCGATCTCACACATCTTAAAATTTGTCCTCGCTCGCTTGCAAACAATTTTACAGACAATCAAACTCAACTGCAAAGCATGATGCTTAAGCAATATCGTTTATGTTATTATTAAGTGAAACAAATATTAAAATCATCCCTGATAATTGTAATCATAATGTAGGGATATAGAACAATGTCTAAACAAATGGTATATTTTCTCTTTGAGATTTCCCTTTGTATGTGCCCTTTTTTTCTCCAGAAAGTGTCCCTTTTTTCTTGGTGCCCCCCCCCCACTTTGGAAGTCACTCGGTCGCCCCTGCTTATCCGATCTCATTACTTTGTTTTCTCCCTTCTTTCCTCATAATTATATCAATCCTAGATCTTCCCCAATAATTATGATTTCTTCACCTAAAACGTGCGTGTTTGTACGCATTGGGGTGGGGGTGGGGGGGGGGGGGGTATTGAACAATCTATGCATGCTGTCTGCCTCTCTTCTCCACAATATTACAGACCTCTTGGAAATAATGTCGATGATGAAGTTGTTTAAACACTTATAGCCTTTCACTCTTTCTTTACGTGTTTTATCTTCTTCCTCTAATGCGTTTTGTTTTTCTTCATTCTCTCTCTAGCTCGATTCTTTAACACACACCCGTTCTTATACTCTTTATCTTCTTTCATTCATCCTCCCGACCCACTATCTCTTCACTTCATAATCAGCACTTTATGTCTCTTCTCTCTCTCTCTCACCTCATTGTTTCTTCAGGTTCTCCTCCATTTAAGTTCATATCTCCCTCTCATCATTGTGAAGAAGCTTTTCCTATACCCCCGAGATGTCGCTATTTCTTTATTTATATTTCATTTAAAAAATAATTTTCCCCGACCCCAATTGGCAATATGACAACTTCAGCACGCTCGCATCCACGTGGAGGAAATCTGCCGCCGAGGTACAGGCGCATCGATGTGGGGCGCAAAGTGTTAACCCAAGTTTTTGGTATAAAAATCACCTCATTTTGTAACAAAATTTGTACCGAATTAATTTGTTACAAAATGAACTAACAATTATTTTGTAACAAAATACCGAATTCATTTTGTAACAAAATCAATTCGGTACGAATCATTTTGTAACAAAATACCAAATTTATTTTGTACCAAAATTAATTCGGTACGAATCATTTTGGAACAAAATGAATTTAGTAAAATGTTTGTAACAAAATGAGGTGATTTTATGAAGGGACATCCCAACTGAAATACAGTCCACGAGACTGATAACTTACCACACTAGTTCCCGGAGCTCCAGCACACCAACTGATACTGAAAACACATTTAAAGCTGAATTTTGTCAACAATAATACAATATGAAAACAGGATGACACAAACAAATTACTCAAAGTTAAAGTGTTTAATTTAATCTATATACAACAGTGTAATCTTTCAGTCTCATAAAATACATGTATATAAATGATTATAACGAGGTCGTAACATTTAAGAAGCATTTTTAGAAATATATATACTTTTATACCCATCTTCAACTGTTCATCTATAAAGAGTATAAACAGGGTCCACACAGCAGGCAAGATTTTCAATTTATTCAAGAAAGATTTAATCTTACCAGAATGTCTTACCTAAATCAGGACTCTGTAACACAAAAGTTTCAATCAATCGCAAAATTGCAATCAAGATCATCGATCGCTGCATGCACATAATCATATTGTCCAAGAGGCTGACCATTAACCAATCGGTATCTTTGTTTCAAATGTTGTAATTGATTGAATACAAACCTTTGTGTTACGGGGCTCATATTATATACTGGTAAAGATAAATGAGCAGTCAATACTCAATACATTTAACATGGAATGTCATATCTCTTCCTTTAAGAGAGAATTGTTGGACGGGGGCAGGGCAATATTTTGTAGCTTGAAGAATAACAAATCAGCCTTTTCATACAGATTGGATGACGTACATGTATTTTCATTACATTCATCCATTTGGTGCGCACAATATTGACCTAGAATTTTTGTATATCCAGCATATACATGATGTAACAACTAACAAACTTTCAAAGGACTCCATTTGTACAGAGATTCAATGATCAAAAGGTGAACAAGACAGTCTATAATCAGTTAACAACTAAATTAGTCATGATACCATTACCAAGTTTTGTAATTTTTTAAGTATGTTTAAATTGATTTGCCTTGATTAATGTTCCGTGAGAATGTGACATATTAAAACTTATATCTAAAAGTATTCAACAAAGAAAACATCAAATAAACAAGGGGATATGAATGATTCAGTTGTTAATTGTTTGTGTACTTTTCAGAAAAAGAGGCATTTATTATTAATACAATTGTTTAGAGTGATGAATTCACTTGTTTATTTCATAATCTTAAATCTTCTACTGATGTTATTAACATAAATGCTACAAGAATATCGTCAAACTCGACACTTCCTGAAGGAGGACAAAATTAATTTCAAGGCGATGTAAAGTGGATGGTGATAGGTATTGAATAATTGGATTGTAGTGTGATTTTATCAGACACCCAACAAGGTATTCTCAATATCTATGGTACACATTTGGAGTAAGTTTGGAAAGAAAAATCCTAATTAGAGGATAGCAAATAAGGTTCCAAGTTACTCATCACAACCTGCTCGCAACATCTTAACAAGCTTGAAGTTACTGATTATTGATAAATAGATCATACGTTTTTAAACATTTTAAAACATACAGTGTGTACAGAAAAAAAAGGAGCTACTTGTTTTGCCATTTCATTGTCCATAATAATCAACCATTGGCATTCAATGTCCTTTTGGCATATATTATGCACATCTACATTCTACAACATTACCAGTAATTATTCACACATTTCCTTTTTTTAAACAATCATTGACTACTTTCGTTATTTCTAAATTATCAGCCTGCCAATAGCATAATTTGTTGATTATGTTATAAAATATGAAATAATAACGGTACCTAAAAAAGTTGTTTTTAAAACAGATAACCCACAACACACTAAAACATCAAATTTTTAAGCTAGAAAAAGCAGTTTCAATTTGAAAATATTCAGAATCAATATCTTTTCTTAGAATAATATTCACTTTGAATATCCAGCCTTCCAAGAATTCACTGAATTCAATCATTGGTTCAAAACTTTAAATCACTAAAGATACAAAATCAGAATACATTTGCATGTCTTCTTATCATAAAAAATACAAGATGAAAAGGGTGTATAAAACATCTAGTCCAACATCAAAATCAGTAAAAGTACAGCAGATGTTGCTTCAGCTCAGATGTATTCATACATGTTTCACTTGAAATTAATACATATTTTATCTATCTTGCAGCATTAGACGATTTGCATGGTGAATGTATAAAGAACTCTTTTTTCCCTTTACATCTTCTGCAAGAGCTTATCAGGAAATGTACACAACATTTTTTTTTATTTCAGTCGAGCTACTGATTTCATTCAAATGAGTAGAAATTTTCTAGAAGTACCCTGCAGTGTATGCAGTCTGTTATACGATGTGATCAAACAAACCATTTCTCTGGCTTTGGGTATCAAGAAAATTGTTTCATCATGATATAAATATTTGCAAAAGAAATGTAATTTCACAAACATCAATCACTCAACTCATTTTGTGACCTTTCAAATTGTCCATGCAGGTTTTTAGAAAATAATATTACATGGTCATTTCTTGCCCTCTCTTCCACTGCAGGCAAAAATCTTTACAGAAAATAGGGAGTAAAAAGCTCTATCAAATCAACTAACATAATAAAAAGATCTACTATACAGCTAGTCGCACAATATAATCAGTACTCAAAATGTTTGAACAGTTAAACAAGCATTAAAAGAGAAAGTATACTAGTTAGTATACATTAATTCATTGTCCCGATTTTTCACTTGAAATGGATGTTGTAGTGATCAAAGACTGAATGGCACTGTCTGAACTGTTTCTTGGGCCTTGATTGTCCTGAGACCCAGATATACTTAAAGTACCCGGTATTCTCAATGCACCCGATGTCAACGAGGACTCAACAGAAAAAGATGGAATCTGATTGCTCAATGTACTAAATGCTCCACTTTCAATGGCTGGAGAGTTCTTTGAGCCTGGCATTGACTCAAACAAAGACATGTCAATGTCCTGTACTGGGTTCCTGTCCACCATCTCTTTCAGTCCGTCCATGACTTTCTGCGCTTCTGAACTGCCGAAAGCAGTTGGTTGAATTTTTGAAAAATGGCTGACAGTATGATACATGAGGTGGGCTTGACGGTGCAATTCACCTAGCTGCTTCTGGAGTTTAGTGTTTTGCTCCATCAACGAAGCAGTCTGCATGGTAAGATCTAGGAGGCCACACTGTCTTAGAGCTGTGAAAGTCCGATGGAATCGCTTTCTTTTCCTCTCCGGCTGTCCTATACGCTTGCTCGACAAATTGCTCATATCTACAGGACAATCATCACCGTCAATGGATGCATCTTGAGAAACAGGGGGTTGTTTTGTTTGATAGTAATACCGCGCTATGGACCATGGTAGGTGTCGCTTACGCCCCCCTCCGCTGCCACTGGACATGCTCTCTTGCTTGCTCTCGTCAGAAACTTTATTGCCTTGGCTGTTGTACATGGTTGACACACCAGTGCTACTGTTAGTAACACCACCTGTCATGATTGTAGAACGAGGCAGCGTGAGATCACACTGAACCGATGACATGTAGTTGGCTCCGATACCTGAGGATTCCGAAGTGGCACTCTCCAACTTTTGCGATTTACCGCCCACCTTCGTCACGTCCATGCGCATGTTCCCAGAGCTAGTGTCTGAGCCGGAGTCTGTGCCAGTGTTCCTGGCCTTGTTCCTGATATGCCTCCGCTGGCTTGCATCGATAAGGACTTTGTCAAAAGTGGCCTGGGATATTTTTACTTGCTTTTCCTGGTCACTGTTCATCCCGCTAGAGCTGTGACCGTTGTGCCCACTCCCATTGGATTCATCCTTCAGGGAGGTCCGCTGTAAAATCAAATAAGATTTTGTACAATAATGGTTGAACTGAACATTCACTTATATGACTATTGTACAAATGGAATGAGATGTATTCTATTTCCATATAATGCTCCAGGAATCACATGTAATATCTGGAATAGTTGAGTCCATGTAAGAACACATGATGAGCAATCTCACGTGCTTGAATTAGTTTGATACCTGAATATAGAATAACTTATTCATATTTATGGAAATGTTACTTAGAAATAGATCATTACAGTACTTGTATTTAAAAACATATTTCACAAAAATATGATGCATGATATTCTGACTGATTAATTTTGTAATTAAACAAATATTTAAATTTCTCTTCACACTTACTGTGGAGCAGTTGGCAGAGTCAGGGGAGAATTCAGACATGTCAGAGACGCAGCTATCTGAAGTAGGGTAGAATAAGTAGAAAGACGATAAAAGAGGCACACAAGATCATTAATATCATGAGGCAGTATCCTACCCGGGACAGGGCAGGACAAGTGATAGTCAAATTTAAAAGAAAAATTGGGGAGAACAAGTTATTAAATTCTTTTTCTTTTGGGTGGGGAATTATTCTTTTTTAATAGGGCATTGGATATATTTAGGAATGGAAACATTTTCATTGTCAGTTTGTCATGTCTTCTGAGCTTTTTGAGCTAGATCGTTCTCTGCTAAATGTATAGTTCCCTATTAAAATATATGGCTAGGTTGGTTACAGACTGGTTTTAAACTGTTTTTAAGTTTTGGGTTCAGTTACAATCTTTTTAATTTAAACACAGGAAAGATACACTAGCAATATTTGTGCCAGTTTTTATTGAATCATTTGATTAGGAAAATTCTTAAAAGATTAATTGTGATCTGTCCAACTTTCATGAAAGGTTATGATCTCAGAAAAAAATTAAATATAGCAAAACGATATATATGCTTTTCAGATAAACATGATAAGACAAAAGAGCACACATATCAAATTGTATTTCAACATGTAGTGGTACAGGAGTGTGGACTGATGCATGCATTGTGTAAGGTGACTAAAAATTAATTGCTTAATATTTGACAACATACTTTTAGAATGTTGCCAATTTGATGTTCTTGGTTTGCCACAGAGTGATGGTGCTATCAAATCATAGTGTGCATTCTGATGTCAGTGTACATGTAGCGATGGTAACAAATGCAAGGGGGCTCTGGGCAATTCTTTTGTAGCCCTCCCAGAAGCCCCTTTGTTTTACATCTCTGCGTATTCCTGCACTATGAGAAAGTTCATTCAGAAAGAATTTGAAAAGTATTCCCAGAGATTTTTTAAAAAATATTTGCAGTTTCATCTCATTTCCCTTTGCAGTTTCCTCTACTACATGTATGAAATACTGGCTTTAACTGTGGGTTCAAAACGAATTTTCAAAAGGCAAACATTCTGCAGCTAAGATGTAATAAAATAGAAAATGACAAGAACAAAAAATGCATGGACTTTTTATGTAACAGTACAACAACCACAAAATACAGAATTGGCAGTCAGTTTTCGCCTCGAGCAAATGAAACTGCCTCGGACAAACTAGGTTGGGCCCAATTATCATGCTGGTCTCTTTTCTGCCAACATGGCTTTTTCTTCCGGTGAGTCATGGCAATACATCTCTTTGTCATTATCTCTCATGAGTATGTTTACCATAATTGTGCATCAACTTTGCATGATTACTATAGTGAATGTCATCTGTATAAGCTCTCTTTCTCTGACGAGATGTGTTGGAGAACATCCTGGTGGGAATGTTACCTCCACAATCTCCTTCAGGTGAGCTGTAGCCATCTTTAAGGAATACATATAGAGATTTTACAAGTTAAAGATGGGGAACAGAAATACAGAATTCGAATTGGCCAGGTCCTTGCTCAAGTGCTGTGCAATGCAAATGTTCAACATGGAAACGGGGAAACATTGATCAGAATGTATTGTTATGTCGAAAGCACAACAGAACATGACATTTGAAAGTATGTGATTTACTTTGTCTCCACATTTTTTAGTCCAACCATTGTATTTCCATGGATGACCACGAATTAGATGGGGGGTGGATCATCTTTAAAATAGCCACCATAATGCTAATAAAAATAACAATTATTATATGAAACACCAAATCACAATATTCACTCCAAATAATTTGCGCCCAGACCTCCCTTGAATCATTATCTTTTGTCCATAGTAGATGTTTATATACTTTGACATGTTTATTTAGGTGATGAAAGTCATGATTTTTCACAAGGACTTGCAAGTATTTGGTGCAAATCAATACTAAGCATGCATATATATACATATATATATATATAATACTTAAGAGAAATACAATGGCTATTTTTTCCGCGACAAGGATACTGACAAGGTAATGAAAATGAAAACGCATGCATACTTTCAACCTGCGAGAAGATTTGGTCCTCCGAGGAAAAATGTGAATTTTAGTTTCATCACAAGGCCTCTCGCGTCTTAGAGTTTTCCCTACATTGGCTTACCTCCTCAACCGATGAAACTGGTCTCCATTCGCGTGCAAGAAATGAATTGGCTAAAAACAATATTGCTGCAGGTACTGTTGTCAAAGGAAGACAAATTTCAAGTGAACTTATTGATCACACTTACTAGAAAGTTAACATGTTCCAAAATTTATGTACAATGTATGCATGTACATGGAACATTAGTAAAGAACATTACTGTTCAAAAAAGATTACTGGTATCATTTAAAGAATTTTTTTTTTCTAATCAAAATTGCAAGTTTGTACCTCGCCAAATGACACCAGGAGATCTTGATTCTCCTAGGGAAGATTCTGAAGAGGGGCTTGAGGTAATGGACCGGTCTCTCTCAGAAGCTGACATCGCCTTGCGCTTTGTTCTTGACTTGAAGGGCAGCTGTGGTGGGCGAGACCAACTGGAACAGGATGGACCAGAAGGTCCAGGTTGCTTTGGGTCATCTTTCAGCTTCTCAGGAACAGGAACATGGCTGCTCTGTGTGTTGGGACTGCTGTACGAAGGGACGTCTCTCCTGTCCATGATCTGCTCATTTGCATCATAATTAGACTGGCTTGAGTCTGTTGATGCCATCTTGTTTTCTTGTTCGTTGCCTAATCTGAAGAAGAAACAATAACTACAATACATTAGAAACTTAAATAACATGACTGCCAATGCTCAAATTACAAAATAAGTCATCTTTTTTCATGGTCTTTTGAGTAAAGTTTAAACCTTACCACAAATCGTACATTCTACAAATCCATTGATTTCAATTAAAACAAATAATTATAAAAAAATTGTGCACTACTATGAATTATTCAAATAACTTCTACTTACCCCAATATGATTAAATTCATAACCTGTACACCAACACCCTTGTTTCTATACAATTGCATTATCCCCTTTTGCATCATTTTACAATTAAAGAGATCAGATCATATCTGTCATTAAAAAAATATATATGATAACACCATTTTAAAGTTAAAAAGAAAAAGAGAAGGACACCCAATAATTGTTTGTTGTTGTTGCTTATTAGATACCTTTCAGGTACTTCCCAGGCCTCCCCCCCCCCCCGAAGAATCCCGGATCTGTCCGAAAGACCGAAACCCTAATTTAACCCCCACATCTGTTCTGAAAAAAACCCACTACAATACATACATTTGTTTTTCCTTAGAATATTGCGGTACCAATTCACAGCACTGTGAGTCTCTCTAGAAATATCATGGCACATCAATGCAATCAAGAAGCCATTGATTAATGAAACCCCGGAATGAAACCAGCTTGGCACCTTATCGATGTGACGGTGAGATCATGGAGATATATCTCCATGGTGAGATCATGCATCCCCCGCTCAAGAATGCATCCCAGCTTTGATCGCTGGTATTCATGCGACCAAACACGTGCAACGCTAACCGCAAGTACACGCGGTACTGCACATGTTATGCACAAAAGTCACACACACCCTTTTTCATCTCATGTTGGAAAGCGTGACTCTCTCAGCATGGACTCAGTGATTTTGTTATTACCGGAAGTCATTCATTTTTTTCACCATTTGTCATTTAAATTTAAAAGAGTGACATTTTTCATGATCAACTTAGGTAATTTTAGTTACTACTTAAAAGAATCTTTCAATATATTATTTATAAATAATGACACAAATTGGACAAAGACGTTAAGACAGTTATTATGATATTTTTCCTTGTATATTTACAAACAATCAAGACAACCAGTGGTCAGACTCGGAGGTCTATTTTTGTAACATTTTTTTTTTAAAGCTATTTCTTTTTGCTCGGTGGCACTGGAAGAAATAAATGATAATACCATTCATTTAATTTAGAAGATAATTGCTGTAAGTAACAATTGTGCCAAGGTTTCGACATGATAACAAAATATTTAAGACGATCGAGAAAAAGTGGTTGGAAGAATATAACAAAAAACAAAATGTTATGAATTGCAAAATAACACTAACATAAAAACACAACGAAACGAAATGTTCACATCATAGCTTTTGAATTTGAGAGAAAGAATAAATGATGCATACATTTATAAAAACAATTATCCACTTGAAAACATATCACAATCTCACCTGGAATATTGGCAATTCTATCAAAGAATTGGAATCAGTCAATTGTCCAAGGACTATTTGGGCAAGGGCCGTGTCCCGTCTCGGAGTGATGGATGATATGATTGAGATTTAGGCAATGATCATATCCGTCATTATCCTGTTTGCCAGAACCAGTAACGGGTTTTGGACGACCGACTGAATTGTACATTTAGCCAAGTTTATTGATATTCCTTCACGGTTATCTTCACGAACAGTTTCCAGATAAAGAAGGTCTAGTCCGGGGATTTTGAATCTGATGTCGATAGTCATCTATGTAGTCTGGATGTATCCTTATCTATCGAGGCAAGATCAACTCCAAAATTGTCTGGACGTAGAGCACAAATATTCTGTATAACCTCCTCCTCTTCCAGCAAAATTGATGTGACTTGAATAATCAGTGTACAGAAGTTGGATATATGATATGCTCAGCAGAAAGAACAAGGTGGGAACGATCGTAGAATTGTAGTATACTAAATGCACATGCTAGCTACAGTGGTGGTGGCATATAGTAGAATCGGCGTATGTGAAACCGCGAGATATATGAGCGTGTGTGAGTACATGTGTTGTGTGAGCAAACTGTGTTTGCAAGCGCTGGCCTTGCCGAATGAACAGGCAGAGAACTGCTCTCACGTGTACCTCGCTTGTTTACACGTGAGCTTAGTCTTTCACTTCAAAACAATTCAGCATATGTATATATCTCCTACTTTATATTGCTAAATGTATGTATTTTCTGAATGTTATAAAATGTATATTTTTTCTATGAAGTGTTTTGTTTGTAATATAAACACATACAAAAATACCTGAATATATTCTCCTCATTTGAAGATTTATTTGGAATATCTAACTTGCAACTGAAAATATAGACTACCAATATCAACATCGTCGGGCATCAACATGTTATTCCACGTGAGGTGAGCTCAAGGTTCTCGAACTGAGATCTGTCTCGTGATTCCCGGCGTGATTCTGGCTTACCGGTAATAGCAAGGGAATTTAGAGGGGTGCTGGAGAAAATTAGTAACACAATCAAAGGGCTTGAAATAATACTGACTTTTTATGTCACACCTATAAATATATTGCACTGCTCTTCCTAATTTAACACATCATTTCACAATCCGTTCCCTCAGCATGCACGTCAATTTGATATACTCTGGGAGTTCCAACTCCCTGAATCTTGAGAGGATTATTGAAGCTTCCATTAAATTTTGAAGCTGAAGAAAATCAGGGTATGCTTCGGAGAATGTCACCACCCCCTCCATACATCACTAAAGATGTAAGAATGGGCATCTAATTTGCATAATTCGTAATGAATGTACAACTTTTTTCTTTAAAAATCGTGCAGCAATGACGCACATTAAGTCATAAACATAATTATCGTCATCCCAATTTCTTTTCTCATGATAGGAAGGCGAACAGTATCAATAATGATGAGGCTATGTGCTGTTCGAGACCGGGGTTCGAGACAAATACCTTATGCACGCCGTTACGCACCTCAATCATGACTGTGAAGTGATACAGGGCCCAGGAAAAAGGGCCACCTATCCGAAGGAAATATGGTACTTATTAGAAATGAAAGGGGCACGGGTCAAAATAAAAGGGGATACTTAACAGAGGGGGAAAGTGGTATTATTACAAAGGGAAAGGGTCACTTATCAGAAGGAAATGAAGAGAACTTATTGTTTTTATTTAAAAAAAAGGGGGGGGGGGGCATGAGTCAAAGTAAAAAAAAAGGTGCAAATATCAGAGGTGTAAAGGGAAATTTCTCGCACCTGAAAAGAGGCACTCACCAGGGATGAAAAGGGGCACTTATGATAATGGAAAAGGGACACCTATTGCAAATGAAAAGGGGCAGTTGTCGAAAGAAAAGGGGCACTTATCAGATTTAAATAGGGGCATTTATCAGAAATGAAAAGGGACATTTATGAGAAAAAGTGAATAGCATCTTATGAAAAATGGGTAAGGTTCACTTATCACAAGGAAAAAGGGAACTTATTAGAAGGGGAAGGGGAAGTTCTTACATAGGAAAAGGGGCACTTTGGGGTACTTAAAAAGGTGGGGGCACTGTGCCCCAGGAGCGCCGCCTCTGGATTGAAGGACAATTTAATCAGTTCACGAGAGCACTTTTCAGTATCTTCTAGTAAGACACAGCTTTACGATTTTGTAAAAGTTTCTGTATTATACCGACATCAGAATACTCAAACAGAAAAGTTGTGATTTTTCGAAGGTGCGATTAATCAAACACATAATTATTGGCAACTCCGTGAGGTATCTTACGAGCTCCCCTCCCATTTGCCCTGTTCTACGAAACAAATCTTCTCGGTCATCATGAACTAATAAAATTGAAATTTTATGAAATGTTTCTGTACAGAGCAAATTGAAGAGGAGCTCGCAAGATACGTCACATTGTTGCCAATTTGTGTTTCAATGATTACATCTTCAAATTTGCATAACTTTCCTATTTTTAATCGGATATTGCTCAAACTTTCACTTATTTGTTTCTCTCATTTTCTTTTTTTTCATGAAAACTAACATAATATCATTGTGTATACCGCAACAGTATTGTTGTACCAGTACGTACTAAAACATGTTTTACAGATATTGAATAGACTATTGTTTTGTTTCTTATCGATTCCACAAAAGATAACATTAAACGTAATGTTATTACAATATATAAATGTTATTGAAAATGGTGGATTGAATATGATTGATATTGCTAGTAAAATATATTTACTTCGTGTGGCATGGATATCTTGTTTCTTTAATGATAATGGCTCTAATTGGAAAAAAATATGTTTAGATACTGGTCCGATAAAATAGGGGTTTGCCATTTTGTTTACATTTCGATTGTAATATAAAAGATATGACTATATTATTCTCTAAATAAAATTTTCCAGAATGTTATGTGAATCTTTTTCGTACTTGGTCAGAACTATGATATATTTAAAGTAAGAAATATTTCAAAATGAAATTATTTGGAAAAATAGTAACATTACCTTTATAAAAAAAATATTGTTTTATCGAGAATGGCAAAATGCCGGTTTATTGAAAATTCATAATTTGATTTCAAATGGTATTTGGAATGACTCTCCATTAATTAATAAAAAAAGTGAATGCACAACAGCTTTTATTTGATTTTAAATATACAACATTTTAGAAATCATTTCCTCAGTGTTTGTTAAATAAATTAAGTGATATAAATGATTTTGATATTTCGAATCGAATAGAAATAGAAACAGGGGATAAAGTAAATGTTATTGTTATGACAGTAAAAGATTATTATCGTTTGTAAATACGTACTAAGCCAAGAGAACCAACCGTCATTTATTTTTGAACTTCCTTTCTAGATTTAGATAAAGACTTTGTTTGGAAGGATATATTTTCATTTAAATTAAAACAAATTCGTATCATTAAAGTTAAACCATTTAAATTCAATATGATTCACAGGTTTATTGCCTCAAAAGAAAACCTATATAAATGGCAAAGTGTAAATAATAATTTGTACAACACTTATGGATAAGTTGACTCAACGTTTCACTTTATATTATATTGAAAGGATGTGATTTTGTTTTGGAAAATAATATGCAATTGGATATGTAACCTATTCCAAGTAGAAATAGAAATAAACCACATGATATTAGTTGTAGGTCTAGGAAACAAGAATACTCTCCTGAATATTATTTGACGTATGCGCAATTTATAAATGTTACGTTTAAAATGATTGTCAACGATTCTGTTATTTACACACATACTTTGTTTTTTTAAATTCAAGTCGTTGCTAAGATTCCCTTATACAAAAGAACCATGGTAACCATGTTTTTTGTTGTCTTACCATGGTTACCATGGTGGATGGTAATTTGGACCCCAAACACAAGTCATGATTACCATGGTTTATAAGGGTTGTTTTTGAGGTATGAATGAAGAAAGTTGTACTAAAGTGGAAAAATTGTTAAATATAATTTAATTTTGAGCCTGTTATATTTCACTCAATCATTGAGTAATTAATGTAAATATGAATTGAAATTATGGAAATAAAAACCTCGCTTGAGGATAAGAAAAATACTAAATCATTAATATCGGGCTGGACTTTCCATGGGTAGAGTCAGTGGCGTATGCAGGATTTTTTCAAGGGGGGGGGGGGGGGTTAAAATCGGGCCAAAAATTTTGCAACGACTCAGCCAGCCGCTGAATAAGCGGGGGGGGGGGTAAGAGGACACTTACCTCTTACCCCCACCCCCCTCCCGCTTATACAGCGGCTGGCTGAGTCGTTGCGATTTTTTGGGACCCCCCCCCCCCCAAAAAAAAAAAAAAAAAAAAAAAAAAAAAAAAATCGCAACGACTCAGCCAGCCGACATAGATAGACGGATGTGAGGGATGAGAAAATGGTGGTCCGGGAAGGGGTACCCCCTCCCCACCACCCCTGGCACTCAGGCAGGGCATGAGGCATAATTATGTGGAGCGCCATGAGTGTCAAGTTTGAGAGGCATGAGCGCTATACAAGAACCTACTTTTATAACTATTTTTTAGTATTATTACACTCCCCCCCCCCCCTCTCTCTCTCTCTCTCTCTCTCTCTCTCTCTCTCTCACACACCTCTGTTGCCACGGTGTACTATAGAGCATTATCCGCCGCCACGCTCTCTTCGCGCTTTCCCATTGGGCAAATTCATTATAAATTATTTTGTTGGACTTGTCAACTCATCGACATCAACGCAATCGCACAGGCACGAACACGTGTCGACAGGAAGATAAATGTTTCGATCACGTAGTTGATGAAATATGGAGGATTTAATAGCATGTAGTTATTGATGTGGTATACTCGACCTCTTCTTCTTCTTCTTCTTCTTCTTCTTCTTCTTCTTCTTCTTCTTCCTCTTCCTCCTCCTCTTCCTCTTCCTCTTCCTCTTCCTCTTCCTCTTCTTTTTCTTCTTCTTCTTCTTCTTCTTCTTCTTCTTCTTCCTATTCCTCTTCCTCTTCCTATTCCTCTTCCTCTTCTTCTTCTTCTTCTTCTTCTTCTTCTTCTTCTTCCTCCTCTTCCTCTTCCACTTCCTCTTCCTCTTCCTCTTCTTCTTCTTCTTCTTCTTCTTCTTCTTCTTCCTCTCCCTCTTCTTCTTCCTCTTCCTCCTCCTCTTCCTCTTCCTCCTCTTCTTCTTCTTCTTCTTCTTCTTCTTCTTCTTCTTCTTCTTCTTTTGTTGGAATATCTAAGCATCCAATGAGGAAAATTCCCAGTCATCTCCCATCGATTGTGTCCGGGTTTGTTTGCACCATAATTTTATCACCAAGTGCTTATCACCAGGACCGTAGCCAGAGTTTGATGTTTGGGGGTTATTGATTGACGCTTCAGTCTATTTTCATATAAGTTGATTGATTGATTTTTATTTCTCATGCAAAACATAATACAAAAATAATTATATCACAACAACAAATATGTAATGAAACGATAAATATAGTGGAAATAGCACGAGAAAAGAGGAACTAACTTGAATAACTAACTACAATAAAACATGAACAAAGTATGCTTATAGATCAATAAATAGACAATATGTAGCAAGGAAGAAGGAAAAAAAAGAAGAAAAAGAAAAAGAAAGAA